AACGTTTCGATGAAGTCTCATTCATCATCATCAGGCCTCTGTCTTTGGCTCTTGCTTTTCAGAGTGATGTGAGGTTGCAGCTGCTTTTTTCTTTCTAACTGTCAGTGGGGGTGGGATTTGAATGGGTGGGGGCTTGGCTGTGTTCTGATTGGGTGGGGGTGTCTTCTCATTGGTGGGGGGCCTGGCTGTGTTTTGATTGGTTGGGGGGTTGGCCGTGTTCTGATTGGCTGGATTTCTTGCTGCCCGGCTTCGAGTTCGAGGTCGCGCTGCATCTCCATAGTTGGTGTCGGCTTGCTTCATGTATGGCTCGGAGGGGTTTGGAGTGGGCAGTGGTGAGGTTGCAGGTATTCGTCTGTTCATGAGGGCGGGTTTCCAAATGGCTGGGAGGCGGGAGGTGTCATCTCGTTTGTTCATGCTGTGTGGGCGTTTTTCTATTTCTATGGCTTCTCTGATTATTCTGCTGTTGAAGTGTTCGGTTTTGGCAATAGTTCTGGTATTTTTAAAGTTAATTTTATGTCCTGTGGCTTTGAGGTGTTGGACCAGGGAAGAGGTCGTTTCTTCTTTTTTGATTGAGTTCTTATGTTCTTCAATGCGTGCACTAATTCTTCTGTTAGTCTGTCCAATGTATGTGGCAGGGCAGGCAGTGCAGGGGATTTCGTATACTCCTTGGTTTTCTAATTCGACTCTGTCTTTGGGGTTTCTTAGGATGGTGGATATTTTTCTAATATGTTGGGAAAGCTGCACAAAATAATCTTTTCTGCCTATGAAGTTAGAGGCAATGAGGTAATAAGTGGTAATAAGAGGTGAGGAAGTGATTTGCGCAAAAATTTGGTGATAGGAGAAAGCTCAGAGTGAGGTGATATATATAGCCATAAATATCAAAATATAAAAAACAGTCACATTCATAATAATGCTTTTCTTTTTAATGTATTAGTTATATTTAATCCCTATTTGATTACAATGTGTTGATATATTAATTAAAAAAATAGATAAATGTGGTTTTTAAACTTAATATTTATTTGAGTTTGACACCATTGCTCTAGAGAATCAAGCAAGCCCTAAGATCTCATTTAGTGGAAACATTCTAGAGGCACTAAACAAGTATTCACAAAGTTAACAAATTTAAATAAATAAGCATTTTTACAGAAAAAATACATTCTAGTACATTTGATTATATAACAGTAGAAATCTTAAATCAGTATCTGTCACATAATGTGTATAATGCAAGGCACAATTACTTCAAGAAGATTACACAGCAACATTAACTTGCAATAATATTGTAATTCAATTAGAATCAGGGTGCTAGACTTGAGTTTATTTATGTATTAAATTTATGTTTATATGCCACTTATATATGCCACGACTGAGAGAGCTATTAATATTTGTATCATTTTACGCCAATTGTCATTCACATTTGTTGGATGAAAAGGTTCTTCATCAAATAAATGGTCTTCAAATAATTTCAGTTCATTAAAAGCCTATTTGTTTAAATAACTGAAGTTAAAAAGTGGTAGCAATAAAACCCAGGTTTTTTTCCTCAGAAAACCTTTTTTCTTCATCAAAAAGAAAAAAGGAATGCTAGAAAGGAAAAACCTGAAAATGAAAATATTAAAAGGCTGACATGAAAATTGCAATATCAGAGGTAAGGTGAATGTTATCAAAAAAGAAGTTATAGCACTGTCTACCATCCCTCCAAATGTCATATTTTAATTTGCTGAAATGCAACAAGTGACAACAGAGTCTTCTAGCTGAGCAAACTTTTATCCGATAGTTCTGATCTTTATGATTTGGTATCATCTGCCACAAGGCATCATCACTGGCCTAAAAAGACAGATTATTACAGGCAATATTCTGCCAATAACCATGACCTAGAAAATGTTGGGGCCAAACAGGAGAAGATTATAACTGTCAGGGCTTACAGTAGGTTTGTACATATTGGAACAATGATAAGGTTTTTGGAATTCGGTCGCTGAACACTAATAGCCATTATTGGTAATCCTCCCTTAACAACAATAATTGGAACCAGAATTTGTTACTAAGCAGCATTGTAATAAAGCTTGATATCACATAACTGTACTATTTAGCAATAGCGTTTCTGGTGTTCTGGTTGTTATGAAAATAACTACAGATTGTTAAGCCAGGATGTCACATGTCACTATTTGCAACTTCCTGCCAGTTTCTCGATGAACTTTGATTGTCAGAAGCAGGCAAATAAGATTGCAAATAGCAATCACATGAGCATAAGAAACTGTGACAGGCATAAAAATAAGAATCACTCATAACTACCATTCAGTGCATGCTATCACAAATTCAAGTGTTTACTGAACAAGTGGCCATTAAATGAAGATTATTAGTATTACACTTTTATCTATAAACCCACTCAATCTAATTATAGCACTGTATGTTCCTGATAATATCAGACAAGTATCAGACATGATAGAATTCATATTATCCTTTACATTTGGTGTTGAATCCAACCTTTGTCTTTTAGTCAGTACTCTGTTTTTGTGTTTTCAGAAGCTCACTTGCCATTGTTGTGATGTTCTTCCAGGCAAATTGGATATGAGAAGATTCCACTGTGCGGGCACAAATTGCAAAACGCAGCACAAATTTTCCTCTCAGATGACATGGAACAAGATGAATTTTCCTAGCATCATTTATGTTTTTAAGAAGCACTTCATTAAGTTCATTGCTGCCCTAGAATAATGATAAAATATGAAATAATAGTTATTCATGTTAATACATGCCATTCTTGAAGTTGTATCAGATAAACTTTTGAGCTCTTGTGGACCCGTTACAATTTATAAGACAAGGATAACATTGTTCATAATTATGTTGACTGCTTTTCACACAATATATATTGAGGTACTCAAAATACTATTAGGTTCAGCTCATTTCAGCCAATGAGGCCTAAAGAAAAGGATATAGACTTGTAAGCATCTAGCTTTCTACATGGTTTCTTGACCCTTGACCATTTGGGTTCATTTGAGCGAACCAATGGAACAACTGGTTGATCCAGAGAGAGGTGAAAGCATTTTTGCACTTTGGAATGGGGACCTTTAAATTTACCTACTTCTGGAAAAAAAAATCCAGAATCCAGATTTTTTTCTGATTATTACCCAGGCACAGATACCCATTCTTTGGATAAAAGATAATATCTGTAAAGTACTAACTATTCTTTTCTTTTTTTTTTCAATTTGACTTGCCTGATTTTGGAACAGAACTAGCCATGGTCATCTTGACATCTTGAAAAAAGGAGACTGAGGGAATGTAATTCTTTTGATCCCATTTGATCAATAACATTTCCTAGATTATATTCTATGAGGTTGTGGTTGGGGCAACATGTTACAATGGTTTATTCCTAGTTGAGGGGATAATGGATTACTCCTAGTTGAAGGGACAATCTTACAAATATTATCCTGTGGGGTACTCCAGGGCACTGTTCTATCACCAGTACTATTTATCATCCCCGATATGTTTCTAAGTTCTATTTTCCAATATAAATATGACACTCAGCTCTACTTTTCTAAAGAATTGGATCAGGAGAAATTGAGCACATCCTAAATGCAGGATGTGTTTAAATGGAGTAATGGAGTGAATGAAAGAAAATACACAAAAGCAGAATCCCAGTAAGATGGAAACTTTCTGAATGAACAGCTTCAGAGTTCAATATTAAAAGATTTACCTCTTCTACACAGAAGAGGTAATAATCACTCAGAAAGAACATGGACATCATTTGACATGATCCTAAACTGATTGTTATCAATGGAGTTCAAGACCAGAAATACCAACTGCTAGACTCTGCCTCTTTACAATCCTACTTTTTAATGAATAGGTTTTTCTAAGTGTTATTTTATGCTGATTTAATTTCATTGATGTTTTGATTGCAAACTATTTGATGATCCTTTAATATAAAATGTATAAGCACATCAAATAAATTGTTGAAAGTTTAAATTCAAGAGCACTGACTCTTTAGCATCATATAATTAATGGACACAAGGGGGCATCATGAGAGGCAGTTAAGGATTTAAAGTCTATGGTGCCAATGAGTGATAATCCCTGCTTATCTGGGTGTAGGCTGCTGGAGATGATGTCATGTGATCTTTTTATACCTTCTTAGGTGTTTTATTCTCTTTTGAATGGTATGTAAATGTGGTTTAAGTGTCTGATGATAGCAGATTTCTCTGAAAGCCAAGTTTCCAGGAAATCTGTAGATTTTTTTTTTTTTTTATTCAGCTTGGTCTAGGATGTTCACAGTTACCCAATTGAAACTATGGTTGAATTTGTCCTCAGGAAATATTCTCAAATTACATCCATATATCTGGCTAACTTATATATTTTAACTGCTATAAATAGTTTGCGTGGTTTACTCCTGTAAATAATTTGGTACACTCCAAATTCATGCCACAATTTCAGTCTATTCATTTTAAAAGAGCGTATGATGTTTTATATATATATATTTCCTTAAGTTTTCACGGGTACTTACATGTATGGCATTCAGCTTTGTTCGGGTATTTTCCCATGTCATTATAGTTGTGCTTTTAAAGTTGTAGCAACGTTTCGGCAGAATCTCATCTGCCATCATCAGGCTTCTGTATATGAAGCTGTATATTTGTTAGGAAGCTAGGAAGCCTCCAGTACAGGAACACAATGTTGCCAGCCAATCAAGACAAAAAAACCCACAAAACAGACAGAAGATATTAGAACACCAATCAAGCAGAACACAGAAAACTCCAAGACCAATAAACACAGACCAAGACTCCCAACCAATCAGGATGAAGAAAAAACCATTCTGGCACAGCAGTAGGCTAGCTCCAAATTTAAAACTGAAACGGCTGTGAAAGTCTGACTCACAGACGAACATAATACAGAAGCCTAATGATGGCAGATGAGATTCTGCCAAAACGTTGCTACAACTTTAAAAGCACAACTACAATGACATGGGAAAATACCCGAACAAAGCTGAATACCACACATACATACATACATACATACATACATACATACATACATACATATTTGTAGATTTTCATGGGTACAGATATGTCGGTCTTGGCGTGTTTGGATCCTTTCCCGTGTAAGATTGAGAGTATCTTGGTGATGTTTCAATGAGGTCCCACTTGCCATCTTCAGGCTGGTGCTTTCAGCTTCGTGCTTGTGCACAAGGCTGGGACCTCATCGAAATGTCGCCAAGATACCCTCAATCTTACATGGGAAAAGACCCAAACATGCAAAGACCTGCGTGTATGTATGTATGTATGTATGTATGCATGTATGTGTGTGTGTGTATGTATATGTATATATGTGTATGTATGTATGTATGTATGTATGTATGTATGTATATATATTCTTAAGTTTTCGTGGGTACTTACATGTATGGTATTCAGCTTTGTTTGGGTATTTTCCCATGTCATTGTAGTTGTGCTTTTAAAGTTGTAGCAACGTTTCGGCAGAATCTCATCTGCCATCATCAGGCTTCTGTATTGTGTTTGTCTGTGAGTCAGACTTTTACATTTGTTTCAGTTTTCAATTTGGGGCTAGCCTATTGCTGTGCCAGAATGGTTTTTCCTTCATCCTGATTGGTTGGGAGCCTTGGTCTATGTTTATTGGTCTTGGAGTTTGCTGTGTTCTGCTTGATTGGTGTTCTAATATCTTCTGTCTGTTTTGTAGGTTTTTTGTCTTGATTGGCTGTCAACATTGTGTTCCTGTACCGGAGGCTTCCTAGCTTCCTAACAAATGATAGCCATCCATTTACTCAGAGCCAAGCTGCACTAAAAGCCTCCAACACAGGAACACAATGTTGCCAGCCAATCTAGACAAAAAAACCCACAAAACAGACAGAAGATATTAGAAACACCAATCAAGCAGAACACAGCAAACTCCAAGACCAATAAACACAGACCAAGACTCCCAACCAATCAGGATGAAGAAAAAACCATTCTGGCACAGCAGTAGGCTAGCCCCAAATTTAAAACTGAAACAACTGTAAAAGTCTGACTCACAGACGAACACAATACAGAAGCCTGATGATGGCAGATGAGATTCTGCCAAAACGTTGCTACAAAAACCACAAACTATAATGACATGGGAAAATACCCGAACAAAGCTGAATACCACACACACGTACACACACACACACACACACACACACTAGCAGACCTTGAATTTTGCAGGGAAACTTGCTTCTTTCAAGCACACATAAGTATAGTTTTATTCAATAATTACAAATTTAAATCTCTACTACTAAATAAGAAAGACTCTGTGGTATAATGCTGAATAAACTAAGATATAAGAAGAGATCCAACAGGCAAGGCACTGTTTTATGTCATCCCATTTCATAGGATTGCTCCTGGTGAAAAACTGGTGGAAAGAATAGTATATAAGCCATACTTGGTTCTTAGTAGAAATGTGAAAGGTAAGTCTAAATTATAACATCAGCAATGAAAACCACTGCAACATGCTTACTTTTATATTCTACAAATAGTAATATATATTAAATTTTAGCTTCAATTGTCTTTGATTTTTTTTTCAATTGCAGTCTCATTGCTCAATGAATTACATATTTACTCAATTTTATATAGATGTTATTGTCAATGTGTGAAATTAGGCATTTTATAGAATGCCTAGAAAATTTATAGAATGCCAAAAATTGGACATCAAAGTAAGAAATGCTTAATATCTCACACATTTCTAGGCAATGTCAAAAGGCAAAATATAAAATAGTCCTGCCATTCTAGCATTCTTTGTTACAACAAATAGGTAAATGCTAGTCTTTTTCTCTTGGTTTGTTTTTTTTTCAGTAAAAAAGTCCTGTATTTTATTTAGCATTTCTTTTTTCATTTTTATATATGTCTTTTCAATAAAGGATTATGGTATTAATACAGTTCCATTGAGGGCTAGCCACTAAGTACTATTGGCTAGTCAACTGTAAATTTCTCTAGTAGAGTTACTATCTATTCCACATTCTTCTATCTAATTGTTTTATTTCACCTTTACCATCAAAATATTTTTATAGAGTTTTTTAATTTTTTTATTTTACAACATGTCATCATGCATATGTATATTGTCTTGAATTTTATAGAAAACTGCATAAAAGAAGGACATCTAGCAAGCCGGTGGGGTGGGGAGCTGCTTTGCTTGATAATGAGGGCAGTCGAAAGGTTAATTTCCTTAATTTTCTTTGCTTTTTATAAACTGTATTCACCTGTTTAATCATATAAAATCTTATTGTGTCACTACTCAAGCGATAAGCTAATGATCTCACACTATTATCTCTCAAAATGTAAAAAAAAATGTGGTTAAGGGTCACTGTGGGATATTTTTTTGATCTTCCTTGTCAAAATTGGTATTAAGAGAGCTGATGATATTTTTAAGAATACTGGAAACATTCTATAAAAACTATCATAATCAGTGCTGAAAATATAGAAAAGCCTCACTAATGACTGATAACAATTTCACTCATCTAAAGAAGATGCTGCAGTTTTTCATAGTTAAGAGTTGGCATCAGCCATCTGGAAAAGCTCTGATCACCAAGCATATTTAAGGTATTTCAAGAAAAAGCAAAGGAGTGTCATAAAGGCTAATACATTTGCCTTTGAAGTAAAATAAGCTTTTAGAAATGTAAGATAAGAAGCATTCTACAGTGATCTGAGAAAGCCAAATATTCAATTAGTGATTAAATATAAATACTGATTAATTAAATTGTATGTTACATTTATCCTATAAATCAAAATATAAGTCTGACAATCGAAGTATCTGCTTTATTTTTAGCTGTCAGTAAGAAACTCTGATTTCCTATAAATTATTGTATAAGCAAAGTGTTAAAACAAAATAAGGGTTGTAGGAACTGAAAAATTCTCCACATTTACCTTTAATCGGAAGCATACCAATCCCAGTATGACATCAGCACAAATTTCAAATCGATCATCTTGTAGCACCAAGTCCTTAAATTCATGTGCTATCCTAACATGCTAAAGCAATAAAGAAAAGTTATGTCTCTTATGGAATTAGTGTTCATCCAAAAAATAAACAAGAATTGCAGAATTGGAAAGAACATCCTTCCCATCTACTCTTTTATCTGCCATGCACCAAAGGTTTTACATATGTGTGTGTGTGTGTGTGTGTGTGTGTGTATGTATGTATGTATGTATGTTCTCAATCAACCTGTCAGTTCTGCCTGGTTCAGTTTGGTGCCTCATAGCCATCCTGCAATCAAAGGCTAGAAAAGGGTGGGGGAGATGTAAGGGCAATAAAACTGTGTGTATATGTAATGAAAAATAGGGAGGAGGAATGACAGCATCCCAAGGCCAGGTACCCTGAGAAAATATGCAGATTCCTCCAAATATCTTGATGTTCTCAAAGCATTTTGATGAGCTCCGATTGCCTGGAAACAGACTGCTCACAGGAGAGGGATGGGCAAACCTTTCCATATCTTTTGAGTGCAGGAAAACTCAGAGCTTGACTTTACTGCAGCCAACACCTTTAGTCAAAGAAGCCTTTACTTTAATCAAATGTAGTTGAGGATCTTTCTTTCCTAAGGGATCAGATTGGGCAGGTATGACATTAGGTTAGCTCTGCAGTTGTGGTCAACCCCTGGTCCATGGGGACCATGAAAACAATGTCAGCTCAAGGAAGCAACCAGAAAGAGATCGGAGCCTGGGGAGGGGCATCCTCAAAAGCCCCTCCTGAAGGGCTGGATTTGAGTGGCTCTGATGGCCCCTCAAGATTTAAAAAAATGGAAGAGTGGGAAGAGAAACCCATGGGAGTGACATTCACCCATGGGCAGGGGCCAGTAGCCTCCAGCAAGATATGCAAGTGGAGCTGGAGGAATTGGAGGAAGAATTGAGTACAGGCTAACTCAAGAGTGAGGACTGGATGCTGGAGCAAGCAATAAAGTTCCTGAATGGACTTTTGGAAACCTCATGGTATACAGACCCTAATCCAGGTGACACATCCCACTAACCAGCCAACTCCAGCCACGGTGAGTGATGGAGCAACCACCTCTGCTGCCACGACAGCTGCAGCAGCAAGCCTCCCAGCAGCAGCATATACCCCAACACTTGGTCCGCAGCCCAGCCTTCACCAGCTACAGGGCAGCACCAGCATAGCAGAAAGGATGCAAGATAGCAGCCCTGGGAGTAAAATTCAATGGAGACCCCCAAGAATTGGGGCTTCTTCCTGAAGCCAGTTTGGACATAACATGTAAGATATAGAATCAGAAATAACCACCAAAGATGTTAAGGTGCAGTGCATGACCTTGGCATTGGAGGGGATCACAGCAGAATGGATAGTCACCTTCCACACCTTCCACAATGGTGACCCCCCAGTACTGAGAAACTTTGACCACTTCATGACAGAAATTTGTAAGTTCTTTGAAGACCCCATACCCAATCATACAGCCAGAGACATACAAAATTTCTTAGTTAGCAAACAGTTCATTGGGGTTTATCTGGGTATCGGTCATGGAATTTTTACACAGTTTGGAGGTCTTAATATTTTGGGACCCATTCAGTTTCTCAGGGGATGAAAGTCTTTCTCAGCTATCAAATACTGGGTTTTTCCCTGGTGTATATGAGAGACCAAAATGTCTGTGACTCCAAAGTGCTATTCTCCCTCAATTGTAATGTGGTCTGAGGATGATTGCAATTCAGGGTGCAGCGATTTCAGGTTTCAATGAAATACAATGTTTTTGACAGTTCCAGTTCTCACTGGGTTAAAAATCCTTTTAATGGGGAAAGGTCCAACATATTAAGGCCTCCAAATAGCTTTAAATTTCCATGACTGATGCCCAGATAAACCCATTAAACTGTTTGCTAATTAAGAAACTTTATGTTTCTCTCCCTCCCCTCTTCTATTTTTCCTTTGCAGGACTAACATCTCTGTCAAGGGGGAGAGAATGTCAGGTCTGCCTGGTTTGGCAGAGGCCCAGATCCTGTTTGTGCCAGTGTTCGAAGACCAGGCACCCCTGAGAAAGTTTTCAGTTTACCTTACCTTATCTTATCTTATTTTACCTTACCTTATCTTACCTTAGCCTCATGTCACACTTGCTGCTTCCTGCCTGACCACTAAGAAAACAAGCAGTAAAATAGTAAAGCTTTACCTGTCTCATTGTGTTTTCCAAAATGGTGACTCTTGAATTAGTTTGTTTATGTTCTGCCAGGATCGTTGATAAGGTAATTTGACTGGGTTATGTTCATATGTAATTCTTAGGGCTGGTCTACCTTGCTGAAACTTGAAGATGACTCACTATTTATTAGGAACCTGTATCTGAAACAAAGCTTCTGTTGCTTTGCTACTCTGTGGAGTAGCAAGCTGAAACTGACCCAAATTATCCAGTTTGAAAATAGTATTTTCTTACTTTTCTCACATACTTTTTCAACTACTTTGGAGGCAACACTGTTTGTAAGTTAAACTATTTTTTCTCTCCACACTAATAAGTAATAAATCTGTCAATCAATAATGATTAGTTGATATTTTTTATATAAATGGCTACATTCAAATTATCCTGTCTGGCAATTCTATCCAACACTTAATTGGCTGCTGAAACCAATAGACTATAAATTCTTTTTAGATAACTGCCTGTTGAGAGACTTGGAGAGAGGAAGCAAAAGACCAGACACTTAGAGTACTATTGGAGGAAGTTCAGTGGTGAATCTGGCCAAAGATTGCATAAGAGCCTAGTTGGGGTGTGCATTGGGGGTAATACAGTGGCAAAATACCAGTACGTTTCCATCTCACTACATCAATAAACAAGGTGATTCCCTTATGTATCCATAAGTTATGTGTAGAAGCCCAGGCATAGGAGATCTGTGCTGTAAGGAAACGTTCCTCATTACTGTTCTTCTGTCATTATACACTCTGGTCTGGTAGCTAACATAGAGGCACTAGGAATGGGGGGAACCTGAATTTTATTCCTGCTTTACACCAGTTTGAATTTTAGACCAGTCACTCTTTCTGAACCTAAAAAAAAGGCAGCACTCCTAAAATGCTGCTGAAAAAAATCAACTGAGCCAGCCTTCAATTGATTCAGAGATCAGATCTAAATGGATGCCTCCCTTGGCATGGTATGTGAGTTTATTTATTTATTATTTATTTATTTATTTTGCTTTGTCAATCTCTTACAAGATAATAGGTATAAGTATATACATAGTTATGAATACATGAAATGGGTACATATAAGAAAAATAAAAGAAACAATAGGACAGGGACGGTAGGCACGTTGGTTTATGCACACCCCCTACAGACCTCTTAGAAAAGGGGTGAGGTCAATAGTAGACAGTCTAAGGTTAAAGTTTTGGGGGTTTGGGGAAGAAACCACAGAGTCAGGTAGAGTATTCCAGACATTGACCACTCTGTTGCTGAAGTCGCATTTCCTGCAATCAAGTTTGGTGCCATTAACCTTGAATTTGTATCGATTGTGTGCTCTTGTGTTGTTATGGTTGAAGCTGAAGTATTCATTGACAGGTAGGACATTGCAATGTATGATTTTATATACTATCCTTAGATCAGACCGAAGGCGGTGTAGTTCTAGGTTTTCTAGGTCTAGAATTTCAAGTCTGGTGGCATAGGTATTCTACAACGAGTAGAGGAGTGGAGAATTCTTCTTGTGAAATATTTCTGGACTTTCTCAACTGTGTTAATATCAGATACGTAATGTGGGTTCCAGACTGATGAGCTGTATTCAAGTATTGGTCTAGCAAATGTTTTGTATGCTCTAGTTAGTAGTGTGATATTACCAGAGAAAAAGCTAAGATTAGGTTAACAACTCTTAATGCCTTTTTGGCTATGTAGTTACAGTGGGCTCTAGCACTTAGATCATTAGAGATGAGTATTCCAAGGTCCTTTACAGAGCTTGGATCATCAACAAGATCTTGACTATTCAGCTTATATTTTATTTTCTGATTTTTTTTTGCCAATATGTAAGACGGAGCATTTATTTGTTGAGATTTGAAGTTGCCATTTGATTGACCATTCTGATACATAGTCAAGATCTTTTTGAAGGGTAGCAGTATTGTCTGTGGTATTGAACAGCTTTACATCATCAGCGAAGAGAATGCAGTTGCTCTTAATGTATTAATGAGTTAAAACTTGCTTTCTGACATCTCCTATTCCTCAAATGTTAAACACTTATTTCTTTTGATGTTATTCAAAGGACACAGTGAGCCTTCACTAACCATCATAAATAAAATCACCCACTCTCCCATTGTCTTCCATAGAATATTCTGATTAGCATCTTTCCCCCATCAGTAATCTAAGCTGAACAGACTAAAAGGATCCAGAAAGCATCACACATCTTCCACAACAAGAGAAGCAGCCTTCCCATATTAGGTATAAGCCTTCCCGTGTCAGAAAAGACATATACCAAACTAGCAAAAGTTACCCTTCACTGTTTTTTGACTGATGCCTAGTAACCCAGTCTTCTATTCCTTATGGTGGAATTACTAGGCAAAGCAGTTTTTCTGGAGGGACGTTAGACCAATTAGCTGATTTGGTTCAGAGTGGAATAATGAGCTCTAGGAAAAAGAGCTGATGTGGTTCCAGTCTTCAAAGAGAGAGAGAGAGAGAGAGAGGGAGAGAGAGAGAGGGAGTGGTGGTGGGGATCCAGGAAACTGCAGACCAATCATCCTGACATCAATATCTGGAACAATTCTGGAAATGATAATCTATCAGGGATTTTTTTTAGCACTTAGCAATTAACAAAGTGATAGGTGGAAGCCAGCATGGGTTTATCAAAAATAGATCATGCTAATTAAATTTTATTGTATTGTATCCACTACTTCTACATGGAAGGAAGTATGCAGTGGGGTATTTCAAGGCTCTGTCTTAAGCCCAGTATTATCTGTGTTGTCAGGGTCACCTGAGTAGTGCAAATGGGTGTGGAACTGTTGGAACTGTTGAAAGGACTGTGTTGTAGACTGGAGATAAATGATGTCATATTCCCTCCACCTCCATTGAAAAAGGGCTGTTCAATTTTGACACAGATGGCCTCTTTGACCCCTCTTTCAAACCATGTAATTGCTTTATTTGAATTTTTAAAATCTAGTATAATCAATTATAATGAGCAGTATTTAATAGAGTCAGAGGAGGGCGCCAAATCCTTTAAGATTTAGACCGCAACACAGGATAAGAACTGAAGATCTATAATACTATACAGATATAGGAAGATTCAAAGTCATATATAGCATATAGAAAGGTCATATAGAAATAAATGCCTGCACATAACTGCTATTTAAAACAACCAGTGTTTTATAATTATGAATAAACTATATAAATATTGGGTGGATATGAACTTTAGGAGGGTTAAGAATGTCTGCAAAATATGATACTGAAAGTATATTTGCATACCACTGCACTGAGAAAGAAAAAGAAGGGGCAGCTTAGGAAACCTGTAAAATGCCCAGGAACTTTTTAACTAACCAAAAAGATTAAAATGACAACTGTAGAAAATGGAACAAGAATGAAGTTTGCCAAAAGTAGGTTACATCTGCATGAAAAATATTTAAAAGACCAAAAAGAGTTGTAGATTAGCATTCTAATAACAAAAGAAAAAATAAGGAGTGGAAATGATGCAAGAAGAAGAAGACAGGGAAAGAACAGAGTGTTTCAGTTCTAATTTTTCTTCATCTTTTCTCCAAAAGGGAATTGTTAAAACAGTTCAGAACAATTGACAAAAGGAAGGAGTAGCAAATCAAGGTAACTTTTAAATTCATTTAACTTTACAAAACAAGACTTTAAATGTCCCTTCCTAGTTTTTCAAAAAATCATGGTGTGATGAGTTGGTATGGTGTCAGTGAGTTACAGAAGGGCATATTTACTTTTCCTACCTTAAAACAATGAAGCCCAACATTTTATATATTGTATATTTGGGGCTATTATATCTAGGTACTAAAGTATTACATAGAACAGGAAGATTTATTTCTGTGGCTGAGATTTGGTGGCTGTATCATAGCTCGACTTGTTACAGAATACAAACATGTTTCATTAAAAGTGTAAGCAATAGTTATATAATTCTTATGGGAATAAACAATACTTCAACCATGCTGTTCTGTTTTTGGCGTATAAATCATCAATCAATGAGGCAGAAGGGAAACCAGAAGAAACAGCAAACAGATCTGACAAGGAGAAACTGACTCCACTTCTCCCAATTCTCAGCTGCTGCCTTGACTGCCCAGTCTGCATGAATCCTGTCTCTAGGAGTTGGAAAACTACTGGACAAAGAGTTTTGGATGGTAACTGCATGGTGATTCCTTGGAGCAATCTGGCTACATGAACTGTGGTGGCATAGTGGCTAGAATGCAGTATTACAGATTAATTCTACTAAATTCCAGCAATTCGATCCTGATCAACTCAAGGTTGATTCAGCCTTCCACCCTTCCAAGGTCCATAAAATGAAGACCCAGATTGTTGGGGTCAATATGCTGATTCTAAAGCATTCAGAGAGGGCTGTAAAGCACTATGAAGCGGTATATGTCTAAATGCTATTGCTATTGCTACATGCAAGTACATCATACTCCTTTCATAGTCCCTTTCTCTATTCCAAACTGGCACATACTAACATGACTTCCAGCATTTAAAATTTCACCTGACTATAGTATATTCCTGGAATAACTTCCATGGTAGTTCTTCTAGCCTATAATTGGGCTTTATCTCTTTGGAAACTTAGAACCTTGATCTGGGCTTGGGAAATCATTTGGATAAAACCTGGATATAACAATTTTACTCAAGATGACCATACCTTTATAAATAATTGTATATGTATTTTATATATATGAAATATATTTCAACACATTTGTATATTGTATTCATGAATACAGTACATATTAGTATCCTAGAGGTACAACCACAATGGAGTCTGCCCATTAAGGTCATGATAGTCAATAAGCATCTCACTTAATGATTCTACTATCCCTGCTTTCTCCAATGTTAAATGAACATGCACATCATTAAGTGAAGCACAGTATGCCTCAGGGATGGGGGACAGTTAGGGTTAGGTCAACCGAATCTAACCCTAACTCTTTCCTGACCTTCCCTAGGCCTCACCCACTCCTCACAACCTCCACTTCCTGCCCCTTGGATCTCCACAGGCCTCCTCTAAGGAAATATCCCCCTTAGGGATATCTCACTAGATATCCCTAAGCTTTAGGCCAGATTTTCATTCCACAAAACTAAATGCCCACCTTACTTTCTAAAAAGCTCCAAAACCTTCCAGGGTGCTGGGATGGACTGCTTTGTCCTGTAGCTATATGACATGATTCTGGAAGAGGCAGTAATATTTATAAGTACCAAAAAGCAACTCAGCCACTGGTAACATGGCGACTGATTCAAGAATTGCATCATGTAGTCAAGGGACAAAGCAATACTTTCTGTTTCGCTAACATGGTCTGCACAGCCTTTTGGAAATGTCCAGGCCCCAGGTTTGTCCCTGGACCATACAATATGATTCCAGAATTGTACCATGCACTAAACAACAAAGTGGCCCATTCCAGCACTGTGGAAGGCTTCAAAACTTTTCAAAAGTTAAATAAAGAGGAGAATGTGCAGCTTGAGTGGTGGATATCAGTCCTAAGAACAGTGTGGAACTGTTGGCAGGGGAGGTGGAATGCTTGCAAGCAGTGATGGGCTTCAACTTTTTTAACAACCAGTTCTCTGCCCTAATGACTGGCTGAGTGGACGTGGCTCGGTGGTCATGTGACTGAGTGAGTATGGCCAACTTGATGTCACTCAGGTCGAGGGGCGCTGAGCCTCACCTGAGCATGGGGATGTTGCAACAGTCATAAGTGTGAAAAACAGGCATAAGTCACATTTTTCAATGCCATTGTAACTTTGAATGGTCACTAAATGAAATGTTGTAAGTCAAGGATTACCTGTACAAAAATGTAAAAAACTTCTTTGCTTGCAAAAACTTGCTGTAATTACCAATAATTAGTTTAGAAATGGGGGGAAACACACTGAAGATCAATGAACCATAGCTATCATGGAAAACTAAACCATTCTGTCTGAATACCTTCCTTTTTCTCAGCAATACCTGAACCCTAGAGTTATAAGTCAGGCAGGGTGCCAGAGCACATGGAGGAATTAATACAGTTAAAATACAGCCAACTCTTGCTCATAAAATGAAACCCTTTAGCAGAGAGGTCATTTAAGCTCTCCAGAAAGTGGGTGGGCATACAAAATGCCAAGCTAAAGAGAAAATTAACAAATTAACATCTTGAGTGAGGACTAATCCCATTCTGTCTTTGTTCAGACCTTGCTGCAGGGAATTTTTGCCCATGAATATAGCTATCTATCTTTTTATCTCTTAAGTGCTGACATCTGCTGTGGGATATTAATAGCAATAGCAATAGCACTTAGACTTATATATCACTTTATAGTGCTTTACAGCCCTCTCAATGCAGTTTACAGAGTCAGCATATTGCCCCCAACAATTTGGGCTCAGATTTTACCTACCTTGGAAGGAGAGAGAGAATACCAAGCTTGCATCCTGCCTCTCAGCCATTTCTTCTATGGTTATGCCAACTCTTCTGTAAATAGCTGTTCAAGCCCTAGGAATAAAAGTACCACAAAAAACTCCAGGGGGGAAGACTCCAGAGAAGCTCTGGAAAAGCTCAGCTACAAACAGAAAGTCTGGGCTTACTGCCAAGAACTATTAAGGCTGTTACAATATAACAAAGCTTAATCCAGAGGCACACTTAAAACAGCAGGAGCAGCAATTAAGATAAGGATTAGGCTAGAAATACAACCACACTAGAATCTTTCCTTCCTGTGTTCCTTCCAGGATTAGTCCTGTAAAGTGGGAAAAGATTTCTTCCAACAACCGGTTCTCCAAACTTGTCAAAAAAATTAACATATGGTTTAGGCGAACCAGTGTGAACCAAGAGGAGCCTACCACTGCTTGCAAGAATACAATGTAGTGGGGAAGATAGGTGGGGGTGGGGGTGTGAAGCATCCCTGTTTTCAGTCATAAGGACAAATGAACATGAGTACACTGTAGCAGCTGTAACTTTAGGACCAAGTCATAAATAGCGTTCCAGGGTCTGTCATAACTTTCAAGCAACTGATTGTAAGTTGAAAACTATCTGTATTTTTCCACAAAAATTGCATCTTTGTATGCATGTTTATAAAACTGCATCTCAAAATTCAGAAATTATAAATATCAACATATAACTGGTTTTGATGAACATATTACATTTGGAGTCTGTATTAAATTAATTTTAGATAATCTGTGAACTAAATACATTTTTCTTCCTGCCCCATTTCTTTTATTAGTAAAACAAAATATCTTCACCTTGCGGATGTATTCTTGTAATCCACTCACACCATACATTCGGAACACAAACCACATTTTCAGAGAACGGAATCTTCTACCTAAAGGAATCTGCCAGTGCTGTAGAATAAAACACAAAGTATTTCTTATTCAGAATAGAATTGTCATCAAGATGAACTATAGATTAAACATTGTCAGACTTCTTAATAAATAAAATTAGAATAATAAGGGAGGATGAAGAATCTGAAAAAGCAGATGCTCTGTCAAGCTGAAATTGTGTAGGACACAAAACAACAGGCAGGATATAGAGAACCCAGGCAAAATGTATCCTTCAACAACTGTGTTCTTGTCTCAGGCATCTTTTCTCTAGTCTTTCCAATACCTGAAGAGCAAAGTTTTGATTGTATCCATCCATACAATCCATAGAGTACTTACCCTGTAATCTGTAATGCATCCTGTAAAGAGTTGGGGATGGGTGAAAGAAAAAGAATTCAATATTATTGTAAGTAAGAATTCATAATTTTGCCTTATGATACCTCAGGTAGCCTAATCTATATATTCCAAATATGGCAAATATACCTGAGCTTCAATGAAAAATGCACCTGTATAATACAGTTGTAATTTGACTGAGTATATATTTGGTACAAAGTGCAAATCAGACTGTATGCATGCGTAGAAATGTATACATGCATAGAAAATCCAGAAATACTACACACAAATAAATAAGCTGCCATGCCAAATTTTCTGCATAATTGAAGCTATTGTGAATATTTCAGAAAATTTCCTTCTACTACAACTGAACAGAGCTATCCAAAATTTAAAATACTTAAATATTTTAAGTATTTAAAATATTTCAACAAGCAAATTAAGGAATTATCCAGTTATATACTTTATTTTATTTGATATTCAATATAATTCCAGCATTATATTTCTCTAGACAATTTGTATAATCCCTCACTCAATAGAAGCTCAGTTCTATTAGTAGGCCTATTGGCCTATTGCAATCACATGCAATATATTTAGAATACAGAATAATAGAGTTGGAAATAATAGAGTTAGAATTGAGGGTCTTCTAGTCCAACCCACTGCTTGAGTAGGAGAGCCTATATCAAAAGTTTTCAAAAATCTCTTCTTGAAAACTTCTAGCTATGTAGCACCCATGATATCTGGAGGCAAGCCATTCCACTGATCAATTATTCTCACTGTTGGGAAATGTTTCCTTAATTCTAGGTTGCATCCCTCTTTCATAATCTTCCATCCATTACTTCTTGTCCTGTCTTCAGATGTTTCGGATAGTAAGTCAACCCTCTCTTCTCTGATAGATATTGGAAAATAATTCTGAAAATATTGAATCCTTTAGACTCAAAACACGGGAGCAAGTAAGTTACGGTGTGTTTCTCAGGTGTACAGACAGCAACATCCTTCTAACAGAAATCTCTTACTCCCAAGCAGCCACTTGAGAATTAATTCCTTTCAAGGTGCATTGTAAAGGTAGAAATATATACAATGGGTTACACTGAATGTAGGATGAATGGATCTTTGTTTTTACACCTATACAATTTCCCACCACCACCTCTTTCTTCATAGTCACTTGTGTCTGACTTTCACTTCTTCAAACTGTATATGGGGATATGAGGGAAAGACAGGAAAAAAAACAACTGTTATTGGATGCCATTCTATGGTAGATGGATATTGTACAGCTAGATATAATCCAATGAATTAATTTCTAGTAATCCAATGAACTAATGTATTTATGAGAATGACTCTCTTCACTTTTTAAAAGCTATCTCAAACTGATTTCCAGCAAGTACTCTAAGTGCCAAATTAGTGGTTAGTAAATAAAGTCGGTATAAAATTCTAAAATTTCAGAGGGATGGAAATGGTACACTCAATTTCATCCAACCTTTTCAAATATATTTTCTTCTACTAGTTTTGATTTGACACAAGCCAAACTACATAACATATCCGAAAATAAATTTATTCCCAATGAATCTATATCATTTCCAGTACATAATTCAAAAATATTTTTATGTTTTTTAAAAGCTGCCAATAATACTATATTTACTTATAGTTCCCAATAGCTTTCTAAAAACAGTTTTCCAGTCCAATGTAGGAAAGATAACATTGTTCCTAATAATACTAGGCATTGACCTATTAAACCAGGAGTCTTCAAATGTTGCAGCTTTAAAACTTAACTCCCAGAATTCCTCCTCCAGTCATGTTAGTTCAGGAATTCTGGGAGTTGAAGTTCACAAGTCTTTAACTTACCAAGTTTGAAGACCCTTGGATTAAACTGAATTTAGGGGCTACAGCAGGGAAGAGTATGCTAGTGGGAAAATTCTGTCTGTCCTATTTATTTACCATATGTTCCAGCCTTTTTGTTCCCGTTAATATAGCAAATGTGCGATTGGAATACATTTTTACAAATTAATATCAAGATTCAAATAGTGTGGTTAATATTCCTATTTATGTATTTATAAAACACCAATTTCCTCAGAATATCATCAGATATACAGAATTGAGAGTACATATTTCATCTCAATGAACCAAGTAGATTTCAGAAAGAATTGAACCACAACACCAGATAAGCAGCTGAAAAGCTTACTAGTCTATCTCACTAAGTATTGATTTAATAGTTGCAGGGCAAGAGCAAAGCTGGAGGGAATTGCTGATGGATAACTAATTGCATGTTTTGTAACACACCATGTGGCTAATGATACACTAGTAACCTCTTGAAAAGAAGCTGATCAGCATAATGTAGTCTACTCTTAGTCACTATAATTATAAACTTCAGTCTTATTTCTCTTTAGTCCATATGAACTTAATTAAAGTTGCACATGCTGTATATAGGATATAAAAGAGTATCTTTTCGATGCTAAAAGCCATATGGTAATGGCTAGGTAGTAAATAAAAACTTGAATGTTAGAATATCAATTAACATAAAATAAGGAGTATTTTTTCTGCTTCTGGAACACAATTAATTGCTTGGCCATTGTGAAACTACATAGTATAAACAGATTGCCTTTCAAAGACTCACTATATTCTGCATGTTAATGGTCAAAGTAAAAGTGAAAGATAAGAGGCAAATCTGAAACTCAAACAACAAAGTGAGAAACTAAAGGAAGAAGATTGTATCCAAACTCAACACAGTTAAGAACAAATGCATACCAGAAAAAAATGAACTTTTAGAGATAGACCAATGGTTAACATATTACATGTAGGGGTTGGAAAAGCTGAAAACAAGATCTGCTCAGTCCAGTCCAATCCAATCCCACTGGAGTTGAGCAATTGATTTCCCACCCTCTCCCTGGAAGAAAGTGTGCAGACCAGTGTTGGGATTCAAAAAATTTTACTACTAGTTCCATGAGCATGGCTTGGTGGATGTGGCAGGGGAAGGATACTGTAAAATCTCCAGTCAGAGGTGATATTTGCCAGTTCTCTGAACTACTCTAACTGAATGAAAAACTGCTGGTGACTTTCTACCACTGCACCATAGAGGGCATTTTAATATACTGCACCTCTGTATGGTTTGCCAATTACACAGTGGTAGATAGGAAAGCACTCCAGAGGGTTAATGTCATTGCCCAGAAGATCATTGGTTGCCCTCTCCCCTCTTTGGAAGAGCTTTATAGCTCACGCTGCCTTAAGAAAGTTCAAAACATTCTTAAAGATCCATCTCATCCTGGGCACCCCTTTTTTGAACTATTACCATCTGGCAGATGGTACGGAATAATAAAAACAAGGACAAATAGGCTGAAAAAACAATTTCTATCCCAGGGCAGTAGCTCTTTTTAAATCTGCTGTATAATGCAGTGTTGGTGTGGTGTCAGGGGTTTCCGGTTCAATGTGTGAAGTGTAAAGGATGTGTGTTTGTGTTTATTTTTATGGTCGTGGTCATTATGTGCACCGAAGATAGTGTTTGATTTCGTTGTACGAGGTGCAATGACAATAAAGTAAACTAAAACTACTCAAAATTTCCGCTACTGGTTCTCCAGAACTGGTTAGACCGTGCTGAATACTACCTCTGGTGCAAACATCTGGAGAAGGGACATCATCAAGTGTACTGATGATAAGAAGAAAAGTAGAGACCAGACTTCCCCAAGAAAAAATAGGCACATGTAGCTGATAGAAGACTCACTTCTCTGAGGAATGGAATCAGCAACTTGTAAATCGGACAATGAAGCAAAGATTAAAGATGTGATGAGTGGTTTACTAAAATAATTAATCCCACAATGATTATTCCTTCTTCGTCTTTTATGTGGGGATGAAAGATACAACAAAGAGCCTGAAAACAATATCAATCTATTATGAGCAGCTAGGCATGAAATCCAAAGAGTAAGGAGCACAAATGTCCATCTGTTCTTCAAATGGAAGGTCAACATCAATAAGGGAATGGAGAATTTTAGAAGTAAACCTCTGCCTTAATGGGTGGTGCCACTGAGAGAACTTTGGCTCCCTAGACCATGGTCTGCATTACCTATAAAGGCTTCTGGCAGAATATAAGGTACACCTCACACGGATCAGGAAAAATGTGCTTGGGAAATAACTAGCTTGGCTTATTTGAAGCACTTTAAATTAAAATTGGAAAAGAAGGAAAACTAATTTTTAGGACTCAAGTGTAAACCTCAAGATATTGTAAAGAATGAGATAAAGAGTTCTGGGGAAGAAAAGAAACAGAAATATAAGAAGGAAATGTAGAAAGCATACGCAAGGTGAGTCAAAAAGGTTCAGATTCCTATACACTAATGCTAAAAGTATGAGGAACAAACAGGGGAAACTTGAAGTCCTAGTACATGACAGTAGTTATTACTGAGATATGGTGGGATGCAACCGATGACTAGAACCTACTGTTAGAAGAATTTAAATTGTTCAAAAGAAACAGATCTAACAAAAGAGGAGGGTGAGTTGCATTATATTTAAGAAATAACTACACTTCTAGAAATGCAAAACAACAACAACAAAGGATAAAAATCTTGAATACACTTGAGTTAAGATAAAAGGAAAAAGGATTGACATTGTCACAGGTATATGCTATAAGCAAGGTATATGCTTAACAGGTATATGCTTAACAGGTATATGCTATCAACCAAGTAGAGGAAATAGATGGACTTTTTGCTAATCAGTTAGCTAAGGTGTGCATGAAAGACCTTAGGGATATTAAACAAGTTCCTGACAAATAAGTTTGTTGTCCAAAAGGTAGAGGAGGAAATCGGAAGGTCAACTGTACTGGATTTAATTCTTACAAATAGAGAGGAAATGATAGAGGGGGCTGAAGTTGCAGGAAATTTAGGAAATATCATATTGGAATTCAATATATGAGTATGTCTAATTTAATGAAAAGAAGGATTAGAGGTAACATAATAGCAGTGTTCCAATATTTGAGGGGCTGCCACAAAGAAGAGGGTGCTAGCTTATTCTCCAAAACACCTGAAGGCAGGACAAGGGACAATGGGTGGAAACTTATCAAAGAGAAATTCAATCTAGAATTAAGGAGAAAATTCCTGACAGTGGAAACAATTAATCCATTGCTCCATTAATCCATTGATTAATTGTTCTCAGTATCAGGAAGTTCTCCTTGGAATGGAATGGCTTGACTTCAGAAGCTGCATCACTGGAAGTTTTTAACAGCAATTTGTCTGACATAGTATAGAGTTTCCTGCTTGAGCAGGGTTGAACTAGAAGACTCCAAAATCCCTTCCAACTCTGTTATTTTTCTGAATAAACATCTTTCAGAAAGTTCAAAGCTTAGAAAATAATCTTTACTAACTACATTAGAAAAATCTGAACAAATATTTGTATGGCTCTTTAGCTCAGTTTTTTGTTCAGATTTTAATCTTGTTTTTATATAACTGCAGATAAGCTGAGCCTAAAACACCATTTTGTGTTTCCACCATAGTCTAGCATGCTTTTCAAATATCTTGACAATATGCTACATTCCACAATATGCCCATTCCTTTGATTATTCAAAAAGGAAATTGAGCGCAAACTTCAAAATTCAGTGACAATGCAATTCAGTACCTCTCTCAAAAATGATGTTCAAGTGAGAGAAATCAAACAAAGAATAGGGAGATATTGTGAATCTTGTTAACTCTTATTCTCTTACTTAACTTCATCATGCAGAAACTGGACAAGATTATTTACATTAAGAAAAAATAAATTATTATTATTTAATGGCAGTTTACCAGATTCATCATGATCATGCTTCAAGTAAACAGGATCTATTTTAAAGGCACATGTTAAATCCAATCTCTTCTTCACCCTGCACAGATATTGAATATAGACAGTCATTGCTTTACTTAAAAGTTTATCTATTTCTATGAAAGCTAGAAATAGAGATATAAATTTAAATAAATTCAGATTAATAAATGGAGAAGTGTTAACTGGAGATTAAATTTTAATCTCTCTTTAATTAATTAGGGTTGCATTAGGTAATTTCTAGGATCCTTTCCAAGTCTACAATTCTATAAAATAAAAAGAATTGACTACAAAGATTAATGAATTAATCAGTGTTGAAGTCAAGTAAGTGTACAAACTCCTTCTCTGATAAATATTTAATTTAATAAATCTAAATATGACATTACATCCTAGCCACTAACAAATACTCTGTAACATAAATTTTGCATGTTTTCCTTTCAAATTTCTAGTACATTCTGGGGATAGAGTAAGACATCATATAAAATCTGGTTTAACACAGTGAGTGGGGGATTTCTGCCAAAAACTGTAATTCTTTCTGCACAAGGCATTGTTTATCATGAATGAGCCAGAATGGAATGCATACCATCTTATGTTTGCTTGATTCCTTATGTCAAAGGAAGATATCAACAAATTGTGGAAATTCTTTCTGTGGGTTTTTTTTTCATCATAATAATCTGGCTTGCTTTTCTAGGAAGAAAGAGTTTGAATTCATGTAATTCCTTCTTAAGAAGAGGCAACTAAGGGATCTTGGACTGCACTGAATGATATTCAGCTTATTTTAAACTTTGTTGAGTCACTTTTAACTTAAGGAACTAAGAAGGAGCAATCAATTGGTAGGATCAGTAGAGTAAATTAGAGTAATGGTACACAGATACTCCAGTTAAGTCTGCCTCCTGCCATATTCCTTTATAGAGAAATGTCATGTGATAACACTGTTAATAATTCTTATATTTCCTTCTTACCACATAGTAGAACAATCAAAGTTGATTAGGAGCCACTTATGAGGGTTGAAGTTGAATGAATCTGCATACTACAAAAAAGAAAGCAGACCAACTATTATAAGATGTCCTGAAATAATTTCCAGAATGTCATTCTTTAAAATGTGACAAATATTGGTATGTTTAAAGACCTCTTTGAATTTCCAACTCAAATCACCCACTGTTGTGGGGAAAATAGGTGAAGGAAGGATTAGTAAATATGTTCACCATCTTGAGTTACGCATAAAAATAATGAAGACTGTAATAATGGTCTGCATTACCTATGTACAGGTACGTGAATTACCTACATGAAGGACTTTAGGCAAAGGATAGGCTGCACCTCTTAAGAATCAGAGAAAATGTATTGAGACAATAACTTGGTCCTCAACACCAATAGGACCAAGGAGCTTATAGTTGTCTATAGGAAGAACAGAACAGACATCCAGCCCTTGCTTATCAAGGGAGACCTAGTGGAGCAAGTGGCCAGTTTTAAGTTTCTGGGTGTTACCATAAAAGAACACCTGATCTGGGGTGTTCACATTGCAGCACTGGTCAAAAGGGCCCAGCAGAGATTATGCTACCTGAGACTTCTCAGAAAACAACAACTGAATGAAAAACTGCTGGTGACTTTCTACTGTTGCACCATATAGAGTATCTTAACTTACTGCACCTCTGTATGGTTTGCCAATTGCACAGTGGCAGATAGGAAAGCACTCCAGAGGGTTAACATCATTGTTCAGAAGATCATTAGTTGCCCTCTCCCTTCTTTGGAAGAGCTTTATAGCTCGCGCTGCCTTAAGAAAGTTCAAAACATTCTTAAAGATCCATCTCATCCTGGCCACCCTTTTTTTTTTTTGAACTATTACCATCTGGCAGACATTACAGAATAATAAAAACAAGGACAAATAGGCTGAAAAACAGTTTCTATTCCAGGGCAGTAGCTCTTTTGAATTCTACTGTATAGTGCAGTGTTGATTCAGTGTCAGGAGATTTCAGTTCAATGTGTGGAGGGTGAAGGATGTGTGTTTGTGTTTTATTTTCAATGTGCACTGAAGATGGTGTTTGATTTTGTTGTATGAGGTGCAATGACAATAAAGTAAACTAAAATGGCTGACACAACTTATTAGAAGGGCTTTAAACTAAAACTGAGGGAGGAAGGTGACCAATCCTTAGGATTCCCAAACATAAACCTCAAGACAACCAATCAAACAATGGGATAAGGAGTGATGGGAAGGAAGAAAAACTCAGATAAAAAGGAGGAGATATAGGAAACATACCCAAGTCAGCTTTAAAGGAGTCAAAATGGTCAAAGTTTGGGGAACAAATAAGTTGAACATCAAGTATTAATAAATATGGGCAAGTATGATATAGTTACCATTACTGAAACTCATGACTTAAATGTACTGATGGAAGGATACAAACCCCAGACCTAACAAAAGAGGAGGTAGAGTTACATTATATGCAAAAAAAGCACTATATCTCTACAGAAATGCAGAAAAACTAGAATCAAAGCCTCCTAGAATGCACATGGTTCAATATAAAGAATGATGTGGCCATACATTTATACTACAAGCAACCCAATCAAGCAGAAGCAATACAATAGATAAACTTTTTTCTAATGAGTGAACAAAAATATGGCTGAACACCATAGTAACAATGGAGGACTTTAACTACCCTGACATCAACTGGGAGACAAAAGCTGCATCAAATAGGAGTTTTAACAGGTTCTCGACCAACCTAGCTGACACTTTTGTCATCCAAAAGGTGGAAAAAGTTCTAGAGGACCAGATATACTGGATTTAATTGTTAGTAACAGAGAAGAAGTGATTGGGGAGGAGGGGAGTTTGCCAGAATTTTGGGAGAGATGACCATGTCATATTGAAATTTAATATAATGCAAGTACAAACAATAAAACATAATAAAAACCAATATCTTAGACTTTAAAAGATCTGATTTTAACAAACTTAGAGTTTGGGGAGGATTCCATGGATGAAATTTTTAAAAGGGAAAACAATTCAAAAAGCTTGGGAAACTCTGAAAATTATAAACGTATAATTTTATAAAAGCCCAGTCCAGCTTAACCCACGAAAAATAAGAAATCCAGAAGAAACCAGCATAGTTACCCAAAGAACTCTGTGACAAACCAAAAGACAAAAAGTATAAGTATATAAAAAAAGGAAAGGCACATAATTAACATAGTATACCAACAAGTAGCTTGAATATGTAAAGATGAAGTCAGAAAAGCTACAGTTCAGAATGAAGTAAGACTGGTAACAAATGTCAAAAAATAATCAAGAAGAGAAGCATCCCTAGAACTAAAGAAAATTTCCTAACGTTGAAATCAATCAACCAATGGAACAACTTGCCTTCAGAAGTGGTGGATGCTCCATCACTGGAGACTTTTAAGAAGAGAATGGACAGCCACTTGTCTGAAGTGTTATGGGATCTCATGCTTGAGCAGGGGGTTGGATTAGACCTCCAAGGTCCCTTACATCTTTGTTATTCTGTTAAGTGATAAAACTCAATGAGGATGTATTTTTTCATGTGACTATATGTCTACCCCACCCTCATGTATGTTGAACAAGCACTGCTTGTAAAGGGATGCTAAGAATATCAAAGTTTATTTCCTTTTCTTCTTTTTTTGGGTGTCTTTGTGTCAGTGTTATACCAGCTGCCTGAATGATTCCCTGCATTTTTCTTAGCAATATTTTCGGAAATGGTTTGCCAGTGCCTGCTTCCTAGGGCTGAAAGAGAATGACAAGCCCAAGATCACCCAAATACCCAAAGAAGGATTAGATCTCCTGGTTAGCTGGGTATCCTAATTGCTATACCTAATTGGCTTTTTTCCACACAATTAATAAAGATTATTATTCTTGGATTAATTTGACAAAATTACTTAATTTTATTGTCCAAATTTAAACGCCTGCTAATGATATGTGAATTGTCATATTCTAAACACTATCCCCATTTCATCCCAATGAAGTGGCAAAAGACCTCATGAAATGACCCAGTTGAAAAGAAAAGTTTGGGAATACTAGACTTTCTCTGCATCTTAACAGTTTTTCCATCCGGTTACTGCTCTTTTATGTAGAACAAATGCTTTAACTTATCTGATAGAAACATTGAGCAAATTAGTAGAAGAAGGAAATTTATTCACACTTATTGAATGGTTGCTACCCTGAAAAATGCTATATTGCCCTGCAAGTGATGATTCATTTCCTTCCAAAACCAATAAAACCTACCCAGGAAATTACAGTGGGCTTTGTTTGCTGATAAAATGAAAAGAGGAGATGCTTTACAGTGTAGCTTTCCCCCTCCTTTTTTTTATTAGTCCGTAGCCAGTAGGCACTGACCTTCTCCAAAGATTGTTTTTTCTTCTGTTGACATAGAATTTATCTGACAGCTGAAGAGAGGCCCAGGAAATTGCATTGCCCTTATCTAAGGAAACACAGGGAAAGTAGCTAGGCATTATTGAAAAGGGGGAAGAATATAAAAGAAAAATATTATACACAGACTGTTAAATAAATTCTTCCCACCCATGCTCTGTTGTGAACTGAAGAAACAAAGCAAGAACTTTTCTGCCTCGATTTTCAAATAAATGCAGGTAAGAAAGGTGATAATTAAATGGAATTATTTATTTTAAATAAATTGACAGTTCAATCTACAGCTGTAGGGCTATTCAAAAAGGAAAGCCAGCCTTGCCCATCGCTTCATTTTTGCTGTTTCTTTCTTTTTTAATAAAGTTTTATTGAGTTTTAACAAAACAAATAAACATGGTTCCACATTTTCATACCAACACAATTTCATATGCATAATCATCTTATGTATTCAACTTCATATCTTATTACTCTTTTTCCAACTTCTCACTATTTCTTCCTTTACTTATCTTAATTTTCTTTTATGGTTATCTCATTTTCTTCTTATTCAATTGTATTTCTTTTAGCTAAATTTCTATATCTTTTTATTCATTGTATTTATACTTTCGTCTGTCTTGTTTACAATTTCATGTTTTCTTCCAACGTTCTTAAGAAGCAAAATTCCCCCTATGATTGCCAATCGAAGTGCAACACTTTTAAATCTTATTGTACCTAGAAGTAACCCTCTAGGCACTTTTAGATTCAGGGTACCTTGCTTAGATGTTCTCTGTTGTTTAGCCTGGTCTGTCCCGCTTTTCTCTTTGTCTTCCTCCTGCACAATCTTATCTAGTCAGGTTCTTCTTTGAGGTGGCCATTTCTAACCCACTGCTGCAACCGCCTTCGGGGAAGGGAGTTTAGACCAGCAAAGGAGGAGAGATGCAGCTCCCCTCCACTCGGCTAGCAATCTCCCCCCTCTTCACCACCTCTAGGGGGTGGCTTCAGCCCCGAATCCAAAGGATCGGGGAGCTCCAGTGGTGAGCACAGATCGAAACCACGCACGATCGTGGATTTCAGTCTGTCTCTGAAGAGACCCAAACTGGAAGTCATTTTTGCGGTTTCTTTTGAATAGAGGGAACATCAAAGGAACTTTATTGGTTGGTTTCATTTCTATTTTACTTTATTCAAGCAAAAGGCCCAAAGGTGTGCTTGATTATTTATGGTTCCTTTAGGATCAGGGCTAGTCCAACAGGGCTGGCAAAAAAGACAGAAACATTTAAGGGTTCTGTACTGCTACTCACAAAGGATTCTTTTGTCTATTAGCTAAAAGGGGCATTTCAATGTAGCATAGCTCTCATTAGATAATCTCTCAGTCAGGCACACACATAACTTTTCAAACAACTCTTCTGCTGCGCCCTGGAGCTGGAGAGGATGAGGAATAGGTAGGGAAAGGGAAAGGTTACTCACCAGTAAGGATATCAATCACCAATCTCTTCCCTAACATGAGATAGGGGAAACAGCAAGTTTTAATAGAAAGCTATGCCCATGCATTCGGAGACAGCCTAGTACCAAGGCAATGAAGGAGAGGCCCTTCTCCAATGCATTCGGAGACAGCCTAGTACCAAGACAATGAAGGAGAGGCCCTTCTCCAATCTGGCAGGAGAGTTTTGTGGAAAGATGGGTAATGGGCAAAGAGCAGGTCCACCCACCCCCCAGGCCCTCTTATTAATTGCTCCTACCAGATATGGCAGCAAGCTGCCAGAATTGAGCAGCATCCCAAAAGAATTGGAGAGTAGTCCTTGTTAACCAGCCCCCAAAATAACCAACAGATGCTCTAGAAAAACATGTAAAAACAGGAGAAATTCTATTTCACCGTGTCAACCCCAAAGTATACTATATGAGGAGCTACTTTTAAACATATATTTACCATTCTTCTGACAGGGAATCATTTTCACTGTTTAAAAATATGGATGTAGGGCTCTTTGAAAAAAGCAGTGAATCCATGTTTAAAGTAGCCTAGCTGACAGCAAGGAAGGTACAGTGTGGGTACAGTGTGATCATTCTTTCTCTCTCCGCCATATGCAAGCTGTCTCCCATGTGTCTCTTTTTCAGGCTTCTTTTCAAACAAAGATCTAGTACTTTAAATCTTGGCTCCCTGTTTTAGCTGAGAAATCAGTTGAGGGATTTTATTATAAACCACTGGAGAAACATATTTCTCAGCATTTCTTTATAAATCTCCCAACAACCTACTGGTTCCCTGGCACCTAAATATTAATAATGCATATTAAGGTTTACATGTAATACTGAGACAGATTCCCCTGACCCTCCTTCCTCCTGGCTCCACAAGCCAGCAGTTGTTCTGAGGTCTCTTAGCCATATCTCGCCAGTATGGGAGAGAGCACAGTGTGAAAGGATAAGATTTTCCCACTGCCAGGAAACCAATGCCTGGACACTGGAAAGGAATAGGCATGCTAATCTCTAACAATTGTTAAATACTTTATTGATGAAGTGTCCTAGCAAAAAAATAGTCAAGGGAAAAGGAGCACATTTCCCTCATTATCTGTTCTCTATCAGTCATACTTCAGTTGTCTTTTTTTTTTTTTTTTACAAGAAGACCACATTTTCATTCTCTGGATACAGTGGTACGTTGGTATTCAACTGCTTTGAAATTAATCATATTTTGTACTCAACACATTTTGCACAAAAATTTGTGCCAGTACTAAGTTTGGTACTCAACGCAGAAGCTGGAACTTGTCTGTGTCGATTGCCTTGTGATTCATTACATTATTCCTTATGGCAATAATTTGCTTGGTACTCATCATTTTTGGTACTTATCCCACCTCCCAGAACCAATTAATCATGAGTACCAAAGTACCACTTTTATCAGATCTTGTATATCCTGATCAAGAAACAGGTGTGAAAGATACTCATGAAGCCTGAATCTCTTTGTTTCAACACTAAAAAATATAGAGTGCAGTTAACTGGTCTTTGAGCAGAACCAATAGAAATACCATTCCTGCCAAATTTGAAAGCCATTATTCTTGTAACTGCTACAATTCTAGGTAATTGGTAGAGGCTATGCTGATGTAAATATATGAACCAAAATAATGCATATGGAGAATGGCAGATATATAGACATACACATAGCCGTGCTCTTAAACACACATACACGCATGCACATACACACAAACAAAGCCACTTATAAAAAGGTTAGAGAAAAGAAGGGAGGGATGCTTCACAAATGTTACCCTACAATAAGGAATGCAGATTGGGTCTGGAATTCAGGGCTATGGAAATCCAACCTCACTTATTACACAGCCCATTCAAGTGTCTGTTAGAATTGAATATATATTGTTATGGTTGAGTGATTGGGTCAGTGTAAGATGACAATTGATATATCATCTACCCTAGTACTTGTTAATTCCCTTCTTAAAACAGCCAAAGTAATACAAGGATTGGTGGAGACCATTCCCGTATTCTTGTTCTAGAAAATTACCTATTTATACTAAGGCTGTTTATTTGAAAGTGACTTAAATTCAAAATTCTGATTAGTGCATAACCTGTATAGTTGACCCTCTTTCTTGCCCCAAGACCCCAATCAGTTTGCTGATTCAACAGAAATCTAAAGGCAATTAATTGGTAAGACAATAGCTGGAGCTTATGGGAAAAGAACTAGGGATAAATCATATTAAATCTTGGTTATAGCTGAATGATATATTAGTAGCCTAGATAGAGCACTTCTCTGTCATTATTCTATCTGCATCAAAGAGATAGTATAGCACCTATACCATGTACTGTAGGATTTATTTTCCTAGCATTCTGGTATGTGGAAGTCCAAGCAATCTGTTGTTTTTCTGTGAACAATTAACTTCATTTGTGGGTCAAGTTGCTAAGAATCACTGATGGTATGTTAGGAACACTGATATTAATATCAAACAATGTCTTACAAGACTGTAAAAGCATCAGCTAAATAGTCCCATTGTATTACATTCTGAATCATAGGACTCTGACTTGCCTCTACTCCATTGAGAAGATAACGAAATTCAGGGCAGATGAAAGCACTCCCAGCATAGGCTGCATCGATATGCATCCAAATATTCTCCTCATTACCTAGGAAAAAAAATATCTTAGATGCAATACACTTTTACCTAATTAGAGTATTGCAAAGGTGTAGGAAATGATCAGTTAACAGTTGCCCCAAATAAAACAGAGGCACAGAAATAGCCATTTCTTAATGCATTTGGCAAATGGTGCCCTAGTGGATGGTGACAATCAAAGAGGGAGGGTTAAATCCATGGTCTTGCTGAATATAAATCCAAAATCAGATCCAAAATTAGGACACCACCACCCAGTGGCAAGCCTGATTGAAGGTTATAGGAGCATGATTAGGATGAACAGGGGGAAAAGTAAATTTTCTGCCAGTCAAACATCTGGATAGATACAAGGATAGGTACAAAGTAGGGAGAACTCTAATACTCATAAAGTGAACCTTTCAATTCCATGAGGCAATCAGATATCATTTATTTAATTTGTTTCCCATTAATTTCAAGAAAGTTAATTATAATCAACTTAATCTGAATTATATCCATGAATTATAAAAACAACTGTCTAAGAAAGGCAGTATAATAAATCAAGAAAGTTTTGTCAATTGTCCTGAAATGTACTCTATACTGTTAATTCTTAACAACTATTGGCCACTCAATAATGTCCCTTTTTGGGAAAGTGCCAAATAATAACAGTTCCGTATAATGTCTGAAGTTTTTTAAAAAGATGGTTATCTGGACCCATTCTCCATCCCTATGGAAGTTTCCCAGATTTTAATTTCCAGATAAAATATTTTTCAGGAAATATAATCCTATTAAATCTCCTAGATTTAATTGTATTGTGCTGTGATACAGGATTTTGAGGTGTTTTATAATTTTAAAGATTAGGTGATTTAGAAATTTTGTTTAAAATTATAAATTTATAATACATATATGCACCCTATGAACACTTTCATTCAAGTATGATTTCAAGATTCATTTTCTGATCAGTCATTATTAACTTGGATCCCATAGATTTTGCTATGTGCGTGTGTTTTAACATATATCAAAATGCACATTTACATACTAGGTGCTATGCTGTATTTGGTTCCTCATAGAAATTGAACCAACTTTCTGGAATCAAATCAAAGCTTTGAAGTTAAATCCAAAGACAGATATATCTCTGTTTTTCAGTTGCAAGAAACATCATTTAGATTCCAAGATTCGGACTCTGGATAATGGTCAGAGTGGAATATTATTCCACAATATATGCCTGCCTCTGTTTAAATATGTTAAATGAAATAAATACTATCTAAAAAGCCATTGCAATATTTATTAGTTTGCGCTATCCTTTGAGGGTCCTTTTGGGTCCCTCTATATTGACCCAATGTCACATTATAAGAGAGAGGGAGGGAAGGAAAGAGAAATAATTTATTTTCTATCTTAAAAATAGAAGCCTGGTGCTAAACAGTGAGCAACCGGAAGAGCAGAAATGGTATAAGAAGAGTGATAAGAATCCAACTCTAGAAGACTTAGTTCTAAAGCACAGTTAAACCAAAACCTTCTCAGGCAGGAGATAATCACAACCTTAACCAATAGGAAGAAAGTAGGCATTTTATATTTTGTTGTTATTCTCAACTTACAACTATTCATTTAGTGACTGTTCAAAGTTATAACGGCACTGAAAAAGTAACCTGTGATCATTTTTCATGCTTAAGATCCTTTGTAGCATCCCCAGGATCATGTGATTAAAATTTGGATACTTGGCAAAATGGCTCATATTTATAGATAATTACAGTGTTCCAGAGTCACATGATCATGCAGCTTTCTGACAAGCAAAGTCAACGAGGAAACCAGATTATTTAACAGCTATGTTACTAACTTAATAACTGCAGTGGTTCAGTTAACAATTATGTCAAGAAAGAACATAAAATGGGGCAAAATTCACTTAACAACTGTCTTGCTTAGCAACAGAAAATTTAGGCTCAGTTGTGATCATAAGTCAAGCATCACCAGTATTCATGTTTTAATTTTATATTGTTTTCCTTATTGTGTATTAAGTGTATGAACTTGCTAAATATTTGTAATAAAAGTAAGTTCAATAAATGCTATAGGTATATACAGACTTTGATAAAATTTCAAAACACAGTTTCCTAATGTGATGAAAAAGAAGAATGTGAAAGTTTAAATTACAATTGTAAAAACTATATAGTGTTCCAAGACTGCCTAACAAGAATAGAATGATAAACAGTAGCTGTAATTTACCACTTAGAGAAAAGATTATATGAAAGAAATATACATGATGAGGGTCCATTGTGTTCAATACTTTGCACATCATACGTAATATTCAGCGAATGACCAAAAAGAAAGGCATTAAATCACACCTCATCTTCTGATGCTGCTGTTCTAGATAGGAATCCTCATTCTTCAATTGTTTTTTTTAATGTTTTTGTTAGTTTCTTGTGCATCTTTCATCTTTCAATGTGCATTCATTCTTGTGCATCACTGTGTATTATCCCCTTTTCCTTGACCACTGGTCATTTCTATAAAATATCATTATGCAGGTAGATATAGGGGCATTCAGGCAATACCTGGAGAGAATCATACTGATGTCCAAATAATCAATAAAGAAGAATATTTGTAGCTCAGGGTTGAAAGGAGTCCTTGATGTTCTCTGAGTTTAACTGTTTTCTTGCAGATGTTTCATTATTCAAACTAGGTAACAACACCAGTGCTAGTAAAGAGTAATTTGTTCTCAGTTTGTATTCTAGTGGCTTGCCCTGCCAGTCTGATTTCTGGTCATAATCTTCCTGGATCAAGCATTGCTTGGATAAAGAGAATTTTTTATTAGCTTCGGTTAACAAATCAGCTGAGAGAGAACAGATAAAGAAAGAAACCTGACACAAACTACCCAAGACTTCATTATAGGACATCCCTTGAAGAAGAATTGTAACTAACCAAGAATGTGACAGCTTGGAGGGTTTACATCACACTTGTGTTGAAACAGCTCCTCTATTTGTCTCTTACTTTCCATGTTCAATTCAAAATTCTCTCTTTGGGGTATAAGACTCAGGATATCTACAACGTGGCCCAGGGGTGGGATTCAAATTTCTTAACAACCGGTTCGGTAGGCACGCCCTAATTTGTGGGTATGGCTTGGTGGTCACGTGACTGGGTAGGCATGGCTTGCTGACTGAGCGTGGCTTGTATGTAAATATTGTAAATATTTATGTAAATATTGAATTTTTTACTTAAAGAAAGAGCAACTTTTACCCCAAATGAGGTAAAGCAGGCAGGCAGATTGAGTTGTTCACAGAATCACAGATTCACTTATCTTTCTGCCCTCTGCTACCTGAGTCTGCACTGAAAAATAGTCCTAAGGAAGTTTCAGCTCTGCTCTCAGCCCAGTGGTGCAATTTGCCAGTTCTCCGAACTGTGCAGAATCATAACAACCGGTTCTATAGAACTGGTCCAAACCGGTAGAATCCCACCCCTGGCATGGCCTGCGCCTGCACAGTTTCCTACAGATTTTCTGTAGTCTTTTGCCGGCTTCATCATAGATACATGTTACATCAATGGCATTTTTTTTCTTAATGGAACATTTGTTCATGGAACAAACTGCTGTTAAGATGTGAGGCCATTGTCCTCCCAGTTTAGGAGGGAGAGGAGTACTGATCTTTTTTGTCTGGACATCTAGAGTTCTAACAATTTTACACTTCTGATTTTCATATATGCTTTTTAATGTTTATATGTAAGTACTAAAATATTGAAATTGATTTGAGATTAGGTGGTGTATAAATGAGTAAATTACATTTTTCCTAGCTAAAAAATTCAACTAACTTTAGAAATGATGCCAAAAAATATTTGTCTAATGAAATTGTGCAGGTTTTTCTGCTGAGGAGGTCTCTTACTCAAAATCCACTAAATGGCTTAATGCAAAATGACAGACACACTAAAAGCAGATTTTCAGTGTTCAGATAAAACAATCACTTGTCAACTTACAAATAGGACCCAGTTCTAGCAGATTGTCAAAGGAGCAGCATGTTGTTGTTCCAAGAGTTGCACACAACTGCAAATCCAAAAAAACCAAAAATAGACATTTTAAAAATAGCATTTAACGTGATGATAATACACAACCCACAAACATAACTTTCAGTATATTCACAATTGGCACAAAGTAGGTAATCTAATTTCATGCAGCCATTTTTAGAGTGTTCTATGATTATGCAGGCATACTTTATCAAAGACACAAAACAGTTTCAAAAATGTTTAAATATAGTACCTTCTGCCCACCTAAAAGTTCAAAAGCATGCAAAAGCTTGTAGATCAGGGGTCTTCAAACTTGACAGATTTAAGACTTGTGGACTTTAACTCCCAGAATTTCTCCTCCAAGCATATTAACTCAGGAATTCTGGGAGTTGAAGTCCACAAGTCTTAAACTTGCCAAGTTTGAAGATCCTTGTAGATAAATATGTACCATGTTGGTGAGAAGGTTACAGTATTCTGTCCTTTGGCCTATAGTCCTGCTGGCCACATGACCACAAAAATGTATTTGGATAATGCTGGCTCCCTTGGCTAAGAAAAGAGAATGAGCATCACCCACGAGAGTCAGACACGACTGGATAGGAGAGACCTTTATTTTTAGATGACTAGTACATGGTAAGTTTGATTATAGATAATTTTAACTTTGTACTTTTATTTCTTGATATCAACTTGTATTTTTAGTTTTATATAATATATTTTCTATCATTTTTTTCCTGGTAAAGGAGATCTGCATACATATGAGGTCCTTCAGGAAGTCTCTTTGTAAATAATAACATACCAGAATAACAGAATTGGAAGGTCTTCTAATCTAACACTCTGCTCAAACAAGAGACCCTGTATCATTTTTTTAGCACAAATGGCTATAAAGTCTTTTCTTTAAAATTTCCAGTTATGGAGCACCCACAATTTCCTGAGGCAAGCTGTTCCACTGGTTAATTGTTCTCACTGACAGGAAATTTATCCTTAGTTCTGGGTTGGTTCTCTCCTTTTGATGCAAAGTTACCAAAAGCAGTAGTTTGGAATGACCGTGGGACTTAAAATTTTATGATAAATATTGTCACCAGCCAAAAGCACAGTGCACAGAATACAGAATGCTCAACAGCTTCATTAATTTTGGCTTCTGGAAATGTTGAAAACAGTTTTACTGTTTCTGTAAAGGATCCAAGTTCAAATGTATTTTCCTAGGTTGCCTCAGGCATGTACAACTGATCCAATTATTAAAATAAAGCTACAAAGTCAATCCAGTTAAAGAAAAAGGGTTCACTTATCACGACTTCTTCTCATAACATTTTTTATTCAGTGTAAGTATAAAAGCTATAAATAGCAGCTTACTAACTAACTTCAATGGCCCACAGTTATTGCTTTTCTCCTCCCATAGTAACTTTACAGATAAGAAGCTTCATAATTAAGACTGTGCATATTTTGCCATCTCTGCATGGCAGCATAATGACTAAGCATATTAGTTGTTACCAGGATATGTATCTCTGGATAATAAAAGCCATAGCAAATACTCATTGTAGAACTGATGGTTAGATTAAAGATATAGCATCTCATTCTCTGTGTCCTAGTATCATTTACGCGCAGAGATTTATAAATCCCAGTAATCCATTCAGGCGTTTTGCTATTATAGAAGGAGATGTCATCCTGTGATATAACTCTGCTGTATCATTGTTATGAATGCCTCTCATAAGCAATCTGAAATCTCCTTATTTCAAGTCTCAAAAGATGGCAACAGCAGCTGGTGTGTTTGTGAAGGAGATCTAATACTGCATTTAACCCAATTTGAAATCTCCATTACAACAGTATAATCACATTTGGAGCAGGGACATATTGTCTCCCTTGAAAATTGTTCAGACAGCTTACAGGCCACTCCAGACTTTCCATCTTTAAATACAGCAGTGTTGCTCTTATTTTGTAAACAAAGCAGTCACTTGTATAACACTATGACCATAATCAATCAGGTAAGTTTAGTATTTAGCTAAGAACAGGATCAGATATATTCAGAAGAAATGTTGTAGTATCACAACTCTAAAAACCACAGAGAAACTTCTTAAATTGCTGTAAAAGAAAAAAGAATGGAAAGATGAGGATGATTAATATAACAAAGCCCTACCAGACACGTATTTTTGTGGCCATTAAGTGAACAGGCAATTGCAGGAAAGCAAGAAAACAGATCATAAAAATGTTCAATTATTTATTTATATTTAAAATGCTAGGAAGCTCATACACCAAGGCAGGGACATGTAATCACATTCAATACCACCCTTGAAACCTTTTATGGCTCCCAAAACCCAGTAATGAGTTAATAAGGTTAGTTCAGTGCTTTGAAAAATAATTTCGAGCCATTAAAACATTAAGAAATATTAGCAGTTTGGGAAAGCAGTATAGGGTATTTTCAGACAAGGTTTTAAAAAAGTCAATATAGTAGCCAGTGAAATCAAAGTTCCAATCATTTTTATGTTTGATGATCAAATGGCAGCCAACTTGGCTTTCTGACCATACCTTGAAGGTACCTCTGTCTATAAGCCTTGCAACCATAATCACTTTCCTAGGGCAGCCTTTAACCCTATCCGAAGAAGCAAGTTCTATTAAAATTGTTTCTCAGAATATATGGTAGATTAACAAGATGACACTGTGGTTAACAAGGCATGTTGTAAATAATTATAAATAGGGTTCCAGCTTTAATTTATTTGATGTGTTATAATGAAGATGTCAAAATACCAACTATCAGTTTACCTATTTCTAAACTACTAGTTAGAAGACAGCCAGACCATGTTTCTTTCTCCTTAAGAAGAAATGCTTAAGCTAGACGGAAAAAGTCAAGTCTTCAGTACTCTTTTGAAATTCAGGAGGGAAGACATCAAAAGGGAAATATCCATAGATTAGACTAAGTTCTAAAGCAAGATGGAAGCATTGGGGAAACAACCATTTCTTAGCTCCTGCTGTCATCCTCAGTTAGACAGGATTTAGAGGGAGATAGATATATTAATATAGGAGAAAGTAGTCTCAAAACTAACTAGATCTGGAGCCCTATTAGGCCTTAAAAATGGCAACAAGCACCTTGAATTGTATCTGGAAGTAACCAATGTAGCTTCCAAAGCAGTATGTTCACCCAAATATCGCAGTGGTGGGATTCAATTTTTTTTACTACTGGTTCTGTGGGTGTGGCTTGGTGAGCATGGCAGGAGAAGGATACTGTAAAATCTTCAGTCAGAGATTATATTTGCTGGTTCTCTGAACTACTCAAAATTTCCACTACCGACTCTCCAGAACTGGTCAGAACCTGCTGAATACCACCTCTGATCACTGGCCGTCCCATCCCATTTTGTATCAGTTGTAATTAAAAGATCAACTCAACTAACAAAAAAATAAATACATATTGGACTGCCAGTTTTGAACTAGCTACCTTCTTTTTCCTTTGGGAATAATTATCTCCAGCAATTATTGCAAATAGCTTCACACTTAAATGGATGAGAAATCTGAAAAATATAGAAGTTTTGGGTAGACTGGGAGGTTGAAAAATATCCTAAAAGAAGGCAGTAGTAAACTAACTTCATATTGCCAAAAATATCCATGTCCATGAAATTACCAAAAAGTGTTTACTATAGATATTATGGCTGAACATAGTAACTATAATTTAAAACATAGACCAGCAGATTAATTAACAACTGGTAATCTTATTTGTATGCTTACTCCAAAGATATTAACAAAAATTGGGATATTAGTACTCACAAAGAATGGGATAAGACCAGCAGCTTTGTCTTCATCTATCACTTTTCTTAGAGTTGATCCACGGACAGAAAATGAATCATCTGTGGGAACTTGTTTAATTTTCACTCCAGCAATCAAGACATCCTTTTCAACTGATGAATGAGCCTGCATGAAGTAGAATATAGTTTATTCTAAAATTTAAATTGCATATCAATTATGTACTCAAAAATATTTTACAATTACTAGACAATATAATCAAATCTTGCTGGTGTAAATGCAAAGTAATAAACAGCAACAAATATGCCCAGTCCTATACTTTTGTTATTTGGTAATTATAATGTTACTTATGCAAATCTTTATCAATTGTAACATAAAATAAAATTTACTCTATTATACCATTCAATAAATAATTGAATAATAGAAAGCACAGTACAATTGATGAACTACAAGTTCTAGTAAATCATACTCTATGTTTCAAATATCAGAATTTGTAAGAATGTTTCTATATGAGAAAAAAAGTGTTACTCTTAATTATTGAGTATAATTTCTTCAAATAATGTAATGTGTTATCTTTTCAAGAATACTCATCTATTGCTATACAATACTGAATCTATGTTCTTTTCTAGGTATATTTCTTTTTAGAACAGAAATATACTACTTCAGTTAAACATAATTCATGTGAAGACATGTCACTTAATGAGAAGGAAACAAGATGTTAAGAAATTCAGGGTTAACTTAAAATATAGTTTTAAAATTCAATTCCTCATGGCATTATTGTAAAATAAGAATTGGAAAGTAGAATCTGACGGATAAACCTGAGTACTAAAATCTTCTCTGGATTATAGTAGCATGATCTTGATCCAAAAACTGCTTTCCAAATGCAAGAGTAAAGCACTATATATAAAAACATTAAAGTAAATGAAATATAATGTATACAATTAGTTCAAAAACAAGTATGTGAACTTAGATATTTATATTTCTTAATGACCCTACCAAAAAATAAATTATCATTGTTGTTGTCCTAAAAAAAACTTTGGAGTGAAAGAGGATGAAACATATGCTTGAATTATTTGACATTTGTTCCAGGAAGCTGCTTCCTTGTCAGACCTCATTTTTCTCCTTAGGTTGCCTTCTCACTCACCACCCCACCCCACCCTTTGTTTGATTCTTGCTTCACAGACTACTTTAAAAGGTCAAAGATATCTTACAGCAAATCCTTGTGCAGACAAAAAAAAACAAAAACCCCTGACATTCAAGTTGCGTAGCAAATATGTATTTTCCTAATAGATGCACTTTTGCAGGTGATTTTCCCCATTCGTTTTTTTGAAGAAAACTGTAAGTGCATAACTATGATGCAGTTCTCTTTTATGTTCAGAAATTACAATTTTAATTAAACTGAATTCACAATGCAAACACAATGCAAACTATTTTTTTTATATACTTGGAAAGTTCAAGGATGCTAAAAAATAAGAAAAAAGCTGGCATAAATACACCTTTTTTTGTAACTTTGAGCATTAGAGCTTATTTTTTTTGAAGCTATCATAGTTGAGATTTTCATGCAAAAATATATACATTAGAAAGAGTAATTATTTTATTTATTATAATTACTTTCAGAAATATTTACTTACCTATTATTCATTCATCCGCACACATCCTCCCTGACCCTTGCAGCATGTCACTCACACTACAGGATTAAATGCCCACGATTTTGGGGGCATTTTTAAAATTAACTCATTTGAGGAAAGTTGATGCAAAAATTGTCCTATTGTGCACCATTTCACCTAGCTGAAGGTTGCAAACAGAGCAACGTGAAAGTTTCAGCAATATATAAATAAAGATATTACACTCAATTTTTTGCTATAATTTTTGTAATATTTCTGAGATGTCTTCATCTTTAATGTTCAGTACTTTGCAAGTGACCTTCATTTGAATTTAGGGACTGTAATAAAATAAAATTCATTTAACTTGAACCCTGGGCCCTATCTAACAAAATGAAATTCAATGTAAAGAAAAGTAAAGTTTTGTACTTAGGCAATAAAAACACATGAACATGTACAGATTAGATTCTGCTCTGCAGCAAAATCTGTGAAAGGGATCTTGGAGTCCAAGTGGATAATCACTGAAATATGAGTCTTTGGCAGCAGCCCAAAATGCCAATCAAACCCTAGGCTGCATTAACAGAAGGATAGAATCAAGATCATGTAAATGTAATTACTGCTTTATAAGCAGTGGTGGGATTCAAAAAATTTTTACTACCGCTTCTGTGGGCATGGTTTGGTGGTCATGTGACTGGGTGGGCATGGCTTGATGGTCATGTGACTGTGTGGGTGTGCTTGGTGGTCATGTGACTCGGTGGGCATGGCCAACTCAATGTCACTTACATCAAGGGGTGTCTCACCTGGCCCCTCCTCTCCCAGCCATTCCTTGTCACCCAGCCTCAACTTATCTATAGTTCTGTAAAAATGTTGTACACCTTTTTTGACTTGATTATCTTTCATGGACCACTGAAAGGAGGAAATGGATCACATGCTTTACTCAAGAGTGTGATAGGCAACAGGCTTTTAAGGGTCTGCCACAAAGAAAGGGGGACAATGTATTTTCCAAAGAAGCAGAATGCAAACAAGAAGCAATGGAGGGAAACTGAACAAAGAGAGAAGCAACCTAAAACTAAGGAGAAACTTCCTGTGAGTGAGAACAATTAACCAATGGAACTGCCTGTCTCCAGAAGTTCTGGGTGGTCAATCACTGGAAGTTTTTAACAAAAGACTGGACAGCCATTTCTCTGAAACGGTATAGGGTTCACCCCAAGGTCCCTTCTAGGTGTTATTCTGTAATTCTGACACCTTTCCCAGGATCTCTACTCAGAGTTTGGCATCCTCAGTTTTCTTGCCTGAGCTGGGGGTTGGACTAGAAGACCTCCAAAGTCCCTTTAAATTTTTGTTAAACACATGTGTATTTTATGCTCTGGACTATTGACATTGAATGCATGTAAACCCTGAAAAATATGTGGTAGCCCTGGGCAAAAGAAAGGCAGAAAAATCACTCTAGGTGTAGGGACAGTGTAAAATATTAACACATGATAAATAATGGAACAATTAAAAATAATAGCACAGAGTTTTCTCTCTCTCTCTCTCTCCCTTCCTATTTCTCTCTCTCTCTCTCTCTCTCTCTCTCTCTCTCTCTCATACACACACAGAGACACATGGAGCACTTTTGTAGCTTAATAGACATGCATTTTGAAGCAGCTCCTTTAAATTTCTCCAAGGCTGGAGTGGATTCCCCCACCCCCTTTGTCAGACCGCACTCCTTCTCACTCCAGGCACTTTAACTCACAAGGGGAAAGCGATACTTGCAGTGTCCATGCCTTTCTTCCTTCCCCTCCCCCAGGGAGAAAGAGGACATGGGGAAAGCTAAGAGAGCAATTGGGGCAAGTGATTGACCGGGCGACTGGGTTGGGTGCCTAGCCAGCCAGGGATTGCCACCGCTTTGGTGACCCACACCAAATAACCACTTCCGGTTCACCCGAATAGGTGCGAACCGGTTGAATACCACCTCTGTTTATAAGGCCTTGGTAAGACCACAAATAGAATACTGCCTCCAGTTTTGCTCATCACAATATAAAAAAGATGTTGCAACTCTGGAAAGAGGGAAGAAAAGAGTAAGCAAAATGATGAAAATGGTTCCACTCCCATAAGCAAAGTAGAAAAAAGCAATCCAAAATCTTGTCTGGCACATTGTTCTTTAGAACAGGGCAGCCCTAGAAAAGGCCTTTCTCATGCTTTCTCCTCGAACTTCCAAGGGGCAGGAGGGTAAAGCATTCCTTCTTCATTTAAAACATGGTCGGCCATGTATTCTCGATAAAGAGCAACTCTATAGATTTGAAATCCCATTATTGTGCCAGCAATACCACAGTATTAGCTAGACTCAAATGCTTTTCATCTGAAGTTGAATCTTCAACCTATCCTGAATATGGGCATATGATAGAGGGCCTCCTGCTCTAGTTGGACTAGAAGACCATCAAGGTCCCTTCCAACAGATATTTTATTATTAGTGACTATTGGATTTTAATAAGCGTGTGCAAAATGTTTTCTCCCTCTGAAATTTCAGATTTTATTTTACATAATCTGTTTGCATTTTAGTATAATAACAGAGTTGGAAGGGGCCTTCTAGCCCAACTCCCTGCTCCAACAGGAGATCCTACACCATTTCAGACAAATGGCTGTCCAGTCTCTTTTTAAAACCCTCCAGTGATGAAGCACCCACAGCTTCTGAAGGCAAGCCAATCCAGCATTCAAAGCACAGGTATAATTGATGGCAGTTGTAGTTTTCCCCATCAATAGTCATGCTGAATTAGATTATCTTCAAAGGCACATCCAAGTACAGCACATCATGATAATCCAATCTAGAATTAAGCAGAATAATCATGGTCAGCGCTGTCTATTCATTGTGGCTGCATTAGCCAAAGATGGGGAAAGATTGCCATAGTCACTGAATCCATATGTTGAATAAGCAAATGAAGCCCCAGATCATAAGTGAATCTGTTCCTCAAAGAGAAGGTGACCTTGTCTAGAGCACATATTAGAGCAAGCAATGAACCAAATAATTTCTGAATGAGTGGGTACGTTTGTCCTGCTGAGATTCAGTCTGAACTTGTTCCATCCCATCAACTCTTTAACAGCTCTGAGACCCTGAGTGAAGATATTCAATGCATCTTTATTGTATGCACAGATGGTTAACATAAACATATGCTACTTTTCCATGAACTCAAACATAATCTTTTATGAAGATATTAAATAATATGGGGCAGAAAAGTGAACTTTAAAGTACCCCATGTAATTCTGGACATAAGTTTGATTGCTATCCATAACTAGTTATTGAAAGTTCCCTATCAGGAAGTAATGGAAAGTAAAATGGTGCTTTCTCTGTCCACCATTGCAAGCTACTCAGCATATCATGGTTGATAATGCCCAAGACAGCTGCATTTCCTTAATTCAGGTCTCAGTGGTCATCCCCAGAGGAATTGATGCCATTTCAGTCCATAAATCTTTTAAAGAATTGAAGACACAATCCAGCTAAAGTGAACTTTAGTTCACATCATTTACACTGATTTCACTTACTGAAACTATTCTTATTGGAGTTCACAAGTCCTAGCACCTATATAGATGAATCAGTCCCAATAAAATGTCAGAAGAGAAATAAGATTGCTTAACTGAGACCTGATAGCTGAGGTATTCTGATAATTGCAGTGTCTCGGGTGGAAGAAAGCTATATTTGGTTAACAGAATTAGATCTAGTGTGGATTTATGGTTGTACTCACCAGGTGTTAGAACTGTCGCGAAGAAAAAAATTGCATGAATACTACTTCTGCAATGTCAATTTATTATGTCAAATCCAAAATTACAGTTAAATGTAAAATATATATCTACACTCTCAAGTTCAAGTTCAGGAGGAGGAAGAGCAGGAGCAGGAGGATTATTTAAGCAAGTTAGTCGTCTTATAAAAATGTCGTAGATGGTATGACACAGATAGTCTGTGACATTAAAGAAAAGTAGTATTTGTGGGACGGAAAAGACAGAAACAGCTCCAGAATCCAAATCAGACCAAAAAAAGTGTTTTCAAAGCAGAAAGATGTTTGTTTCTTGCTGCTTTTGGCCTCCAAAGCTCACCAAGGATCAACTGTAAATGCCACAGTTCTCCAGTATTGATTCAGGACATGATTCAGTTTGTGCTGCTGCTGCTTCTTTCTTTTATCAAAATGTATATTTATCAAAATGTATTTTTATCAAAATGTATTTTTATCAAAATTTATTGCTTGTCAAAATTTATTGCTTGTCAAAATTTATTGCTAGTCTGTCAGCTACCTGCATTATTGAGAAGGATCAAAAATCAACCTGAAAATAAAAGACATAACATCTTTATGAAATTTTAATCTATGCTGCATGAGTACTACATATAATTTTATTTCCATACCTACAGTAATGCAGGGAATAATGTACTCACTTGATCAGAAGTATAAGCTACCAGTCGACTAATGATTTCTCCTTGAGTCAAATTTTCATTGTCTAACTGAATACGATGAATCGCTTTGGTTCGAGCTGCCAGCATGGCAACCAAGGTAGCTTCACTGGCAGTTCCCTGTGATGGAAAATTGGACATGTTGGACAAGAGAATCCAGTAACAATTATCCTAAATTAATAAGGAGCATCCACTGCATTGATATTGCTTATACAATATAATTGATGGTACTGAGAATGACACAATGCCAGACAATCTTGCTGGTCTAATCAGGGTAAGAATTCCCTTTTTCTTACACAAATGTATACAATACAGTGTGTCATCCATGCTTGCTTTAGATTTCAACAGGCTGTAAATGCATTTATGTGAAAGTGCTCCTAGACAGTCCAGAAAAAAACAACAGCAAAGAGGCAGAAGCAATAGTTTAGAGTAATCTTGTTTAAATTAATGGCAGAATCCATCTGATTTCACCTTTCTAAATCATTCTAACTAAAATGAACAGGGTTTGCATTCTAAATATGGATGGATGTACCCCTAATAAAATGACAGAACAAAAATAATCAGTGGAAGGCTCTGATGAGAAACTGCTTTTTAAAATGACATAAATGCTAACAGCACAGTTGATTTCATTTTTCTGTACAAATAGAGGTTACTATGGTGAACAGACTCAAAAGCCGACATATATATATTGCCGAATAAGACAGTTTCTTTCATCTTTAATTGTTTCGAGCGGCGCATTTGAAGTAGCACACAATGATTTCATATTGATTTGTCCTTTCAGCTGTAATTAAGCACCAATTTTCATAAGCAGATACTGCAAATAATCATTTGGTTTTAAATATAGGAAAGATTGGCAGTTTTAATATAAAACCTATGTTTCACATGTCCTTTCCTGTTTCTATCACTGTTATTATCACTGTGCAAAAAGAAAACCATCTGCACAAATTGCTTCCTCCCTGGTAATAGCAGGAGAGGCCTTAAACAATTTTCCTTCTGTCCTAAAGATAATCAATGAAAACAGCATCCACAATCACTGGCAATCATGTGTTGTCACTAAAAATGAGTTAATAAACAGATATAAATGTCCCATGTCATCAGCACAAAACACACTTTTGCAAGATTTTATAAATATAACGTATGAATACATGGCACTATAATGTAAAGCTAAAGGAAATATTTCTGAATATTTCGATAGAAGATACAAGGTCTGGTAAGGCTCATTTATAACTTTTTTAAAATACAACATTCTAAAACTTCAGCTGGCATGAAAAAAATATAAAGATGCACACACTTATTTATCAAATTCACAGTGTAGGAATCTATAAGTGGCTCCAGTGTGGGGTTGCTATTTTTCTATTGGGCACTAGGAAGGAAGCAATGACAAACCGTTTTTGAAAAATATTGCCAAGATTACAACTCCTCCAGGCAAACTCCAATAACCAGACAGGATTAAACAGAAGAAAAAAATCATAATGCAAACTTCCACAAATTCATTTTAAACAGTGGATACCAAACTACTTCCTTCATGATAATTTAGCAGACTGTTGAACTGAATTGCTAAATTTAGAAGGATTTAAGAATTTAAGTCATAATCTAACACAGAATTTTATCCCACAGATTTCAATAAACCGAAGTGCATTTAACACTGAATTAGTAGTATGGAACTTAAGACCCTCCATATGTTGACAAATTACACCTCTTGTCAATCAATCCAGAATAACAACTGATGAAGGAACTTAAAAACCATGGCTCAGCCATTGTTTCCCCATTCCTAATTTACACATACTCAGGTATACCTGCAATCCAGAGAACTATATGAAATAAAGTTGATATCTGAAATAATGTTGATGTAGACTTATCCTTAAAATATTCCTATTTGTGGTCCCAGATATGTCTTTTATTTTCCTTTTCTACATTCTTTATTCCATTTTCTATCTGACTTGGATTTCATTTCCTCCCAAATAGCCACTGGACTTCTGACATTCCCTTTAATATATTTTTTCTGGATAATTTTTTCTCCATCACTGCAAAATTTGGATTTACCCCAAATATCTTTAGATCTTTTTTTTTCACTTTGTGTAATCATTTTGTTTTCTGAAATATTCGGGGAATTGAATTAGAAATAGAAAAAAAAATGACACTATTATCTTCAAAAAGAAATAATATGACAGTACCGTAGTATTTTATCCACTTTAGATACAATATAGATCAAATTCAGTAGCAAATATTCTAAATTACCTGGATTACCCCTCCTCCTTCTCCATCCTTCTCAGCCAGAAATTGTGGAGGCAAATTGATCATCTTTCCTAGCCAATCCAGCATGACTGTTTCCAATTCGGTGCAAGCTGGGCTTGATGCCTAGAATGGGAAAACATGGTAAAAAGGAAAGAAAAGTCTCTAGTGGTTTCTTTAGATATTTACACATTTCAGAAGAGTGCACAGAATAGAAAAGCAATATAGCATGGGAGCTGCAAGTGTAATTCAGAATGTTGCATAATTTGTGAGTGAAAAAAGAGATAATTAATGATCCATTTGAGTAACTACTATGTATGACAGGTATATTAACTCATTCTCCTCATAAAATTTTAAACTGTAGATAAAAGCGGGCCAAAATTTGAATCATCCCTTAGTACCTATGTATATGTTCACACAAACACACACAGAGAGAGAAAGGGCGAGTGAGTGGAGAGAGGGAAATATGTCCTTCTGAGCAGGGGTAGGATTCAAATTTTTAACAACCGGTTCTGTGGCTGTGGCTTAGGTGGTGAGCGTGGCTTGGTGGTCATGTGACTGGGTGGACATAGCTTGGTGGTCATATTATTGGTTGGGTGTGGCCAACTCAATATCACTCACATCAAGGCACAAATCTCCTTGCCTGGTCTCTCATGACTGTGGGGATGCTGCAACAGGCCTAAGTATGAAAAATGGTCATAATTCACTTTTTTCAGTGCCATTGTAACTTTGAATGTTCACTTCACACAAGCAAAGTACCAGCCTGAGTCAGGAAGTCCTGAGTCAGGAAGTCTAGTCCTGCCAAGAATGTAATAAGGGTTAGCGGAGAGGCAGTTTCTATAAGCAACACCAGAATGTTTCCTTCCTGCCTTCCTTATAGGATTAGGCCAGTAATTTCTTCTAACAACCAGTTCTCTGAACTGCTTAGAATGTTAACAACCGGTTCTAGCGAATAGGTGTGAACTGGTAGAATCCCACCCCTGCTTCTGAGTATGCCACAACTTCTCTACTGGTAATCTTTATATCTTTATGTTAAACCCTATCTTTATGTTAAACCCTATCTTTATACAAGTAATCATCAATTTGCAACAGTTCATTTAGTGATTGTTCGGAGTTACAATGGCACTGAAAAAAGTGACTTATGACCATTTTTCACACTTATGATGATTGCTGCATCCCCATGGTCACATGATTTACATTTGTATGTTTGATAACTGACTCACATTTATAAAGGTTGCAGTGTCCCAAGATCATGTAATCATTTTTTGCAACCTTCTGACAAGCAAAGTCATTGGAGAAACTAGCTTCATCTATCAACTGTACTACTAATTTTAGAATTACAGTGACAAATGGGAAAGAAAAGTCATAAAATGGAGCAAAACTCAGCTAACAAATATTTCACTTAGCAGTATAAATGTTGAACTTAGTTGTGTTCATAAGTTGAAGTGCTGTATTGAACTTGTAGAGCTTTCTCATAATCTAATAATTTCAGTGAAAACTAAACCGTTGAAAGCCATGTAGCTACTATGTAGAAGTTGTGGCTTCTGAGTGAAGAAAATATCTTCAAAAATCCATAATATCTAATACTTTTGAAATATAAAGGCACATGTAGTAATTGTACCTGCTAGGAATTAGTTCTTTCATGCCTACATGTAACTTACCCATGAAAATCCAATGCATCCTATGCCCCCAGATAACATATCACCCAAAAGAGCTGGGAAAGAGTTGGCAGTAGGAAAATAGGCAAAGAAGTAAGGACTGTGCCAATGAGTCACCTGTGAAAAAGAATACAAACAAAGATTTATCAAAATGAAAGCCTTTTGATTATGATAGCATCAAAAGGTCATGTGTTAGACAAGGCCTTGCTTTAACAAGCATGTAAAACAAAAGTGCTGATATTGCCCAACTTAATAACTCTTGAATTACAATTTTACTTTCACTTTCATCTTCCCCTTGGATAATAAATAATAGTTTCATCACCTTGTCTTTGTGGATTATAATCACATGTCTCTGGGATTACAACTAAACCACAATTACAATTAATGGACCACAAAATGAAGAACTTCTGTGCCATCCTCAGCAGCAGCAACATCTAGTTCAGCAAGTCAAAGATAGTTGGATGTGATGTTGCAGCAAGTAAAGATGAACACAATGAAGACAGAGATGAAAGTTCTCCAAGTTATGCATGAAGACCTCAAGGAAAGGATAGGGAAAGTATAGGACAAAACAGAAGACTTTCAACAACAATGGCTAAAAATGAACAACTCATCCAGAAAATGGAAGAGAAAGCTGAACAGAGAAAAGAGTGGAAGAGGTCGATCACAATCTTATATTGGCAGATAAAAATCAAGAGAGAACAATAATATTATTAGAGATAGAGCGGGCCAATTATTACTTACATTTTCAGAACACTGAAGAAGAAAAGGGAGAAAATTTGGCAGGAATAATAGCAGAGCTGCTAGCAAATGCTTTAGTGATAGCCAAAGAAAAGGTATTTGCCAAAATGGATGAAATATTTAGAGTTGTGACAAGAAATAGACTTCCCAGATAGGTACATGTAAGGTTCACCAAAAAAGCAATAAAAACAGAGATATTACAAAGAGCAAGGGATGAACCTATAAAATATAAAGAGAAAAAAATAGTAGTTATAAAAAAGATTCCTAGAAGAGTAAGAGAGATAAGAAGGGAATATCAGTTTTTTGTTTTACTAAACAGCTTATTCAGAATGGAGTAAACTTCAGATGGCTGATACCGGAGGGAATATTGGTGACTTGATGGAGCAAAGACATAGATTAGACTCCATAGAAAAAGCAGAACAATTTTACAATCACTGTTTTGGACCACAAGAGGGAATGGTAATAAGTGGGGGAAAAGAGAATAGACAACAAGAGGAAGCTACAGGAGAGAGAGATATACCGGGAGGGGGGAGATAAAAGAGAATCAGAGGAAATAGCAAAGAGAGAATGGGCAAGAGCAAAAGAACAGAGAGAGATAAGAGTGACTGGAACAACAAAAACTATTTATAAGTAAAATTATGGAAGAAGAAATAAAATTGTTGTCAATTAATATAACTAGACTGAATTCGGATATAAAAAGGAAAAGGTTTTATATTAAACTTAGAAAACTTAAAGTTGGACATAATTTGTTTACAAGAGATTCATATTACAGTAAAAAAAACCAACACAATAAATTATTGGAATACCCCCAAATTGGAAACTATATATCTTCTTATCACAACATAAGAAGAAAGTAGTAGTTCTTTATATCAGGGGTCCCCAACCACCGGTCCCCAGACCGGTACCGGTCCGTGGAACAATTTCTACAGGGCCGCTGGTTTGCTGGGTGCCGCCATCTTGTTTTGATGAAAAAGTGCTTCCGGTGAGCTTTTCCAGGTAGAAAGTGGCGTTTGGGTGCTGAAAGAATCCTCGCACCTTAGTTTCATCAAGGGGGGTGGTGGCTTCGAACAAAACTAAGGTGCGAGGATTCTTTCAGCAGGCGTGGCAAGGAGAGCTGAGCGACCGTCCCGAAGCCGTCCCGAAGCCCATCGACACAGGTACAAAGGAGGAATTGAAGGTGGTGGGGAGAAGTGGGGGACAGCTGGCTGGCCGGTCACTTGGCTCACCTTGCCATGCATGCTGATGCCAGTACTGGGCAACGGATGATTTTGTGATGCTGGTACCGGGCCGTGGCACAAAAAAGGTTGGGGACCACTGCTTTATATAAAAGAAACAATAAATGCTAAGCAAATATTTATGGATGAAGAAGGGAGGATTTTGATGGTGGAGATAACAATGAATTGGAAACAGATACTCCTGGTAGCAATTTATGCACCAAATAATAAATAAGGACTTTTATACGTAGTAAACTTTGTAAGAAAATTGTAGAATTGGAGCACAAAAATATTTGTCTAGTGGGAGATTTCAATGCAATTGTAGATGAGGAACTAGACTATAAAACCAGGAAAGTGAGGAACTTCCGGGTTGCCAGGCTTCGGCGACAGCAGGGATTCGCATCTCTCCACGATCCCTGCTGTGCTCGCGGTCTTGGTGCCTCCAATCCTGACGGATCTGGAGGATAAGGCTGCCCTGTAGAGGCAGCCGAAGATAGGGAGGATCTGGGAAGGGGCTTGGGGGTGTCTCAGACCCCCTCCTCACCCAGCTTAGCCTCCTTTTCTCAAGGCGGTGGAGCAGCGGTCAGCGATGGCCGCCACAAAGAAGCCGGCAGCTGGAAAAGATTGTGCTGGAGGAAGAAGGAGAAAGAAGATTCAGAAGTGAAAGTGCTGGCTGAGCTGGGAAAATAACAACCTCTAAAACCCTGGAATGGAATTGTTTATTGCCTGAAAGATACATTGTATCCCTAAGAAGAGAAAAGCAGCGGAGAAAGCTGTCAAAGGAAAGCTTTTTTTCTATTTACTCTCCCACCCCATAGAAATAGTAAATGCAGAACTGGAAAATATATTTGGGCACTGAAGGTATTTTAACTTGAAAATTCCGAGAGAAAGGACTTTGGACTTTGGACTTAACAGCTTCAGAAATTGGAAAACCCGTATTTGAGGTATGGATTTCTGAGCATTTAAAGGGAAACTGCTGTTGTAAGTGGGGGGAGAGGAAAAAAAAAATTTTTGGAGCAGAGCTTGAAAAAGGAGGAGACTCCCTAGAACTTTAAAGAAAGATACATTTTAATGGGAACTTTTTGATTAATCAGTAACCCCAGAAAGAGAAATTGAAGAAGGAAAAAAAAAGTATTGAAAGAAATAGTTTATTTGGATCATTTAGTGACTTTGGAACTCTTGGAATTACTCTTGATTAAAAATACTTGGGTGGTTGTTTTTGAAGAAGTTTTTCTCTTCATGATGGCATTGCTTTTGGATGAACTAAAAACTCAATATCAAAAATATAAGAAAGAAGAGCAAGATGGAAAAGATACTTTGGGCACCCTTTTTCAATTTTTAGAAATGGCGGTATGCACTTATGAAAAATTGACTACGCAGCAGGATGACTGGAATAAACAACAAGAAAAAGCCATCTTGGATGAGCAATGGGTTTTCTTTGGGGGGGAGGAGGAAGAGGAAAAGAAAAAGGGGATTTTAAGGTCTGAGAAAACAATCCAAAAAGAGAAAAATGAGATGAAAGGTGGATACAAGGTTAGAAAACAACAGAAAGGGGGTAAGCAGAAGAAGAAAAGGGAGGAGGAGAGACAATGGGGTAAAAAAGGCAAGGAGAAAAATAAACAAGAGAGAAAGGAGAGGATGAAAAACCTTAATGGTGGGAAGCAAGACTTAAAGAAACAAAATCTATTTAGAGACAATGGGTAAATTTAATTGAAAAAGGGATCCTGGAAGGTACATAAAAGTGTGTTTCTATATGTGTATTTAGAGTAAAATGTCTATTAGTATATATGATCAGCTTTTTTATGGTATCTATGGTGGGTTATATGCTTTCATTTTGTAATCGTAGTCTACTTGCTTTTCTTATAAAGTCTATTGTGTAATTTTAGAATGTACTAACCAGAATCTCAATATAATTTAAGTGTTATATTAAGCATTATTAAGTTAGGGAAAAGAGTCAAAGGCGTTATTCCAATTAGTGTACAGGAGAAGTATACTTAAAGAGAAAAGATGAATGGATAACTGGAAAAGAACAGACAAAGAATGATAAGTATTATGAATTGTATTGAGATAAGATAAACAAAATAAAACTAAGAAAGATAAAAGAGGGAAGAAGCTATATAGAAAATTGAAAATGGTAATAAGATATGGAATGATATATAAAGTAAATATGATTTTTGAATTTGTGTCTGTGCGAAGAGTTTTAACCCGGGATTAAGCAGCTTTCAGAAATGATGTTTTTTATGTTCCATGTCATGTATGTTTGTGTATTGTTTCTTAAAAGGCAAAAAAATTGATTAGTAAGAAATATAATCTGGACAATAGAATGAAAAGGAGAAATTGGGATAAGATATGAAGTTGAGCAGATAATGTAAATATACATATTACATTTGGCATGTTCTACTGGTTCTTCCAGAAAGATCTTTTATGTTATTGTGCCTTGATTGTCTGTATGTTCTGTAAAGTTAATAAAAAATTTTTTTTTAAAAAAAAACAGGAAAGTGAGCAGAAAAGATTTTAAAATCAATTTGTACATCCAGACCAAAATGGATTCCTACCTAATAGACAAATTAAAAATAATATGAGAATAATTTTAAATACATTGGAGTACTACAAAGCACATCCAGGGAAGCAAATGGCATTGATCTTCCTAGACGCATAGAAAGTATCTGATAATTTGAACTGGCAAATTATGTTAGCACAGTTGAAAGGTGCAGATTTGGGGGAGAGATTTATTAATATGATTAAGGTAATATATTATAAGCGAACAGTAAAAGTGATGGTAAATGAAGATATGACAGAGAAGGTTGTTATTAAAATAAGTACAAGACAAGGATGTTCCTTGTCCCCCATATTATTCATATTGACATTGGAAGTATTAAATATTAGACAAAATATAGAGATAAAATGTATGGAAATAAAAAAGAAAAGTATCAATTACAGCCATTTGCGGATGATTTAGTTTTTATTTTGGAAGAGCCACAAAAAACAGGGCCTAAATTAATTTAAAAAAAGAGGAATATGGTGAAATGGCAGGATTGAAAATAAAGAGAAAACTAAGATAGTTAAAAATCTCATAGAAATGCAGAAAAAAAAGTTAATGAAGAAAATAGGTATTCAGATTACAAAGAAAGTAAAATACTTAGGGATTAATTTAACTGCAAGATGTGTAACTATTAAGGAAGATAATTACTATAAATTGATGCAACAAATTAAAACAGATCTAGAGAAATGGAAAAACCTGCAATTATCACTGATAGGTAGGATAGCTACTATAAAAATGAATATATTGCCAAGATTATTATATCTATTTCAAACAATTCCAATAAAACTGGAAAAAAATACTTTGGGGAACTCAATAGAGTAATGTTAAGATTTATTTGGCAAGGGAAAAAAGCAAGAATAAGTCTAAAAATATTACAAGATTTGAGAAATAGAGAAGGCTTTCAGTTACCAAATTGGGAATTATATTACCAGACTGCGGTACTCACTTGGGTGAAAGAATGGGTTGTATTGAGGAACAAAAGGTTATTGACTTTGGAGGGACATAATTTGCAATTGGGCTGGCACACCTTCGTGTGGTATAGAAAAAATAAAATACATAGTTACTTTCAAAGGCATTATATTAGGAATGCATTATTGCTAGTATGGGAGGAAGTCAGAGAACAACCTATTTGAGGATACCAGTTTGGCTTTCGACAATGGAAGCACTTGTTCATCCAAATATGTCTAATATAGAAAATATTGTTAGATATAAAGATATTTTGAATGAGAAGGAGGAACTCAAAAATAAACAAGAGTTGAGTGATCAAGGGATTGATATGACACAGTATTCACAAGTGCAGATACCAGAAAAATGCAAAACTATATGGTTTTTATAAGGAACCAACAGAATTAGACAAGATATTAACAAGGGCAGAAGAAAAATTGATTTAAAAATATAGTTACTTACTATACATTAAATTGGAGGATAAACAAGTAAAGGAAACAATGATAGCATGGGAAAAATATTGATTATACAATTGAATTAGATAAATGGCAAAAATTGGGGACAGGAACTATAAATTAACAATGTCAACTGCATATAACGAAAACTTGTATAAGATGTTTTACAGATGCCATTTTACACCAGTGTGGTTGGCAAGGATGTTTAAAGACAAATCGGCTAAATGCTGGAAGTGCCACCAAATACCCAGTCATATTATCATATGTGGTGGACTTGCCCAAAAGCAAAAAATTACTGGACAAAAATACATACGTGGTTGGAAAAAATGATAAAACAGCATATTGATTTAAAACCATAAATATTTCTATTGGGGATTCTATTGGATAAATACAGTAAGGAAAATACATATTTAATTATTCATATATTAACTGCTGCTAGAATCATATTTGCACAAAATTGGAAGAGTAAAGAGATACTTATAGGTGAGAATGTGATTATGAAAATATTAGAATGTGCAGAAATGAATAGGTTAATGTTAGCAATTAAGGAGAAAAGGGGAACTGAATACTATATGGTTTGGGATTTATTTTATCAATGGTTAAATAATAAAAATGGAAATTAGAAACAGGGAAACAAAATAAAGAAGATGTGTTAAAGGGATAAGTAAATATTATGACTAGTATTTTGAATATTATTATTTTAATATTGTAGAATTAATATGTGCAATATTACTATTTTAAATATCATAGAATTAATATTAATATAATGAATGATGTTGCAATTTTGATTATTGTTTAACATATTTGTACCCAGACAACATATTGTTCAATTGAAGATGGAATTTTATATTTAAAAAAAACTGCTTAATTAATTTTACCCCAGGCATAATTATCCTTTCAACATCTTTAAGGATGTCTTCAAATCTCTCAGGTGTTTCAGGAGGAAACTCTGGAATAAGGGCTCTTAAATAACCTGGCTCTACATCAGGATAGACCTGTCGCTCCTCTATCTTCTCGATGTAATCTGCAATGTAATCCACCATCTCTTTTCCTCTTTTCCGAAATTCTGTGGCATCCATTTCAGTATTTCAAGCAACCTAAAAGAAGCACATGATTTGTTATAGACATTGAACTCCAAAAATCTCTAGGCATGAGAAGCAAGGAAAACTGCACAATACAGTTTATAGAAATAGAAAGTATAGAAATAGAAATAGCACTTAGAGTTATATACTGCTTCATGGTGCTTTACAGCCCTCTCTAAGCATAGAGTCAGATAGAGTCAGCATATTGCCCCCCAATAATCTGGGCCCTCATTTTACCAACCTTAGAAGATGGAAGGCTGAGTCAACCTTGAGCAGGTGAGATCCCAACTGCTGGCAGCCAGTGATCAGCAGAAGTAGCCTGCAGTACTACATTCTAATCACTGTGCCTTTGCAACTCTTATAATATCAAATAAACTTTTTGCTCAGGAAATCTGAAAATGTTAACAAGCAGATCTTTTTTCTAAGCCAGCAACATATAGCACTTCCCAGGTTAGGGCTGCGTTGAGGTTTATTCTACCAGAGTTGCTGACTCATCCTGATCATGTACAATATGCACACATGTATCAGTGGTAGGATTCAAAAAATTTACCACCAGTTCTGTGGGTGGGGCTTGGTGGGCATGGCCTGGGCATGGCTTGGTGGGTATGGCAGAGGAAAGATATGTAAAATCTCCATTCCCTCCCGATTCTTGGGGGAAGATTACTGCAAAATCCCATTCCCTCCCCATCCCACCAACCTGCTTTCCAGCTCCGTTCTCCTGTGCAGGGCAACAAAAGAAGAGCCAGCTAATCAGCTGGGACTTGGGAGGCAAAGAATAGATGGAGGCTGGGCCAATTAGAGGTGATATTTGCTAGTTCTCCAAACTACTCAACATTTCTGCTACCAGTTCTCCAGAAGTGGTCAGAACCTGCTGAATACCGCCTCTGACCTCTATATATCTGCTTGCTCTTACAAAGAGCAAGAAGTTCATAATATCTTAACCTTAATAGGCTTTGCTTATCTACTCTAAGACAAGGCCAGGCAAAGAACAAAGAGTTTATCCCAGGTGGCTCTAGCCAAAGATGGAAGGGACATACTTACCTACCTAAGTGATTCATATTGAGGGCTAGACAAGTCAATTGACTGAGCCTGCTAAACAGTCAAATATATTTCATTTTCCAAATATTATATGAAAATATAGAATTTTATTAATCTATGGAAAGAGCCATAGCAATACAAATCTCTTTCTCGCCAATATAGAAATCCCACCACTACATCATAGGAAAACAATGGGAAAGAAAGAAAAGGAAATTAAGGAAATTTAATGCAATATAAATATTAGACACAACCAGCCAGGAACTGGAGTTCAGTTCAAAGCACCAAAAGTTTTATTACATGCTACCTATACACAAAATCTGGTTTGCTTAATGGTCAAGGGAAATTGGTGCTAGATAAGAGTCGATGGAATTCATAGGGGATCTGGGCTTAGGTCTCTTGTGGGAGTAAATGACTGCAAACTGAAGATGCATTTGACCCCATGGTGGAATTCAAAAATTTTTACTACTGGTTCTGTGGGCATGGCTTGGTGAGCATGGCTTGGTGGGCATTTCAGGAGAAGGATACTGTAAAATTTCCATTCCCACTCAATTCCTGGGGAAAGGTTAATGCAAAATCCCCATTATTTTCCCACCCCAACTCTGTTCTCCTGTGAAGGCAACAAAAAAAGACCCAGCCAATCAGCTGGGACTCGGGAGGCAGAGAATAGATGCGGGCAGGGCCAGTCAGTGGTGGTATTTGCCAGTTCTCCAAACTACTCAAAATTTCCAATACTGGTTCTCCAGAACTAGTCAGAACCTGCTGAATACCACCTCTGATTTGACCCTATCTTTGAACTCAGCCTGGTCATCTCCTACAATAGCCATATAAGCTTTATTTATCTATACTTTTTAACTATGATGGATGAAAAGTTCCTTAAAATAAAATGCAATAATTGAAAAAATTAAAAGTAATTACAGTATAGCAAAAATGCAGATTACATTTTGACTCTTAATGTCACTCAGGTGACAATGCCCTCCTGGGGGCATTTAGCAAATTTGCATGGTGGAAACTTAAATGCACACAATAAAGTGTACATTATTAGGCTTCCATATAAGTTAAGATCATGATAATGCAAATTGCATTTATTTTTCTCTCTTCAAGCACTGCATGTTCACTGCACTAAATACGTAATGACTACAGAGAACAGCAGTGTTAATAAGAGCTGGAGGTATTATTTAGAATACTATCATAATCGTCATTTAGTGTATAATTGTTCCTGATACAGATAGTTCTCTTAAAATAAGGATAAAAATCATCAGCACCACAGCATTCTACAAATTCTCAGATATTTCGGGGAGACATTGTGGCAGTTCAAGTAGTGTAATATTGATGTTGCGTAAATGAAAAAGATAGATATTTGCCTTTAAAGAATTCTGGTGTTGCTATATATCTATTTCTTGCCGTTCTTATTTTCCTACAAGATAAGCACCTCTAGAAACAATGTATTTACTGTAAAGTGTGACACAATATAGGCCTGGGGTATAGTTGGGTTCCTTCAGTTCCTTAAGACACACAAAGGCTTATGAACCTTAGTTTTTTCCAGTGAATTAATTCCTCACAAACATAGTGAACCAGGCTTTAAAAAAAAAAACCAAAATAACTGCAATTAACAAATGATCTGTATTCAGAGCTATATGAATATCTATATTTATAGAAAGTAAAGGTTCCCCTCACACATACATGCTAGTTGTTTCCGTTTCTAACGGGTGGTGCTCATCTCCATTACAAAGCCAAAGAGCCAGCACTGTCTGAAGACGTCTCTGTGGTCATGCACTGGTATGATTAAATGCCGAAGGTGCACAGATACCTCCCTATTTTTCTACTTGCATTTTTACATGCTTTCAAACTGTTAGGTTGGCTGGGACAAGTAATGGGAGCTCACTCCATTATGTGATGCTATTCGTGTCTGTGTGTGGCAAAAAGAATGGCACAGAATGGGAAACTGTCTGCAGAAAAAAAGTGTGAATTTTTTGGTTGGAACCTGATTTGATCATGGTCAGAAGCATTCGTGATAAGAGCTTCTAATGTATATGTATATAAATACACTCATAAGGCACGTGTAATTATGTATTTACTTAGTGTATGACACGTGCTAACCAGGAGTCACCAAGGTGGTTCTGTGAAAGGAATTTTTTCAGGCAGTGTTATTTTTACCTGCAGGACTCTTGAATGTTGGAAGGCAATCAGGGGAGGCTCCTTTCTTGTCCCTTTGTGGCTTATTCACTCACGGGAATTGAGCCACTAAGCTGCCAACTTTTATTTTATTTTATTTATTTATTTGATTTGTCAATCGCTTACAAGATAATAGGTACAAGTATAAACATAATTATGAACTTGGGTGGGATTCAAATTTCTTGACAACCAGTTCTGTGGGCATGCCCTAATTTGTGGGTGTGGCTTGGTGGTCATGTGACTGGGTGGGCATGGTTTGTATGTAAGTATTGAATTTTTTATTTAAAGAAAGAGCAACTTTTACCCCAAATGAGGCAAAGCAGGCAGGCAGATTGAGTTGCTCACAGAATCACAGATTCACTTAAAGATCTATCTTTCTGCCATCTGCTACCTGACTCTGCATTGAAAAATAGAAGCTTCAGTCCTAAGGAAGGTTCAGCTCTGCTCAGCTCAGTGGTGCGATTTGCCGGTTCTCCAAACTGTCCAGAATCATAACAACCGGTTCTATAGAACTGGTCCAAACTGGTAGAATCCTAGCCCTGGTTATGAATATATGAAATGGATACATATGAGAAAAATAAAAAGAAACAATAGGACAGGGATGGTAGGCATGTTGGTGCGCTTATGCACACCCCCTACAGACCACTTAGGAAAGGGGTAAGGTCAATAGTAGACAGTCTAAGGTTAAAGTTTTTGGGGTTTGGGGAAGAAACCACAGAGTCAGGTAGAGTATTCCAGACATTAACCACTCTGTTGCTGAAGTCGTATTTCTTGCAATCAAGTTTGGTGTGGTTAACCATGAGTTTGTATCTATTGTGTGCTCTTGTATTGGAGATGGTTGAAACTGAAGTATTTATTGACAGATAGGACATTGCAATGTATGATTTTGTCAAAGGTGCTTCAAAGGTGCACATGCCTGGTGTCTTATCACGTGAGCCACCATGGTCCTCGGCACGTGTAATAACAATGCAGAACTCTGAAATTAAAAATTTCTCTATTCTGTAATGGATTATCATGGATGAAAGGACTATAACACAAAAAGTCCCTGCTGTAGATTAAAATAGGGTACAAAAAAAAGCCATCTTAGAAACAGATAAACTACTTCTACACTGTTACCAAGAAAATTACATGGACAATTGTTATTTAGGCTAAAACTCAAGCCAAGACTTTTTCTTATTATATAATATGTAAAATAATTTATTTTGATTATGGACATAAGACTCAGTCAACAAGTAACGAAGTCAATGGTGCACTGAAATGGCCAGAAGTTTTGTTCCATCTCACCACCACCACCACCACCCGACATACCCAAGATATGCAGGTTTCATAGATATGGATAGGCTAACTATCCAAAAAATATTATAATTACTGATATCTTCCTCACTTTTTGTGAAGATGTCTAAAATAGTTTTTTCTGTGTAGCATTATTTGCTGAATTATTTTCATTATTTTAAGAATTATACAAATCACTGAATTAATTAGTTAATAGGAGAGATATCTAAATACTTCCATCAAAACAATTTAAAGTAACTAACTTGACTTACAGACTGAAAGTTCTTCTTAGAAAAATAGCATTTCTACTGAAATTAGATAGACAGAGGATTATCCATAGGCATAACTGAAGTAAATAGACTAGCATTCTAATTGATTAAAGCAATCAACTCTTATAAATTAAATGTTTTGAAAGAGCAGATGCTAATGAAATTATGACTAGTAAACTGATTGATGTTCATATTAAACAAATTTCAATTTCATTGTTTCATTATTCTACAGTGAATACAACAGTACAGCCCCTGTTGGGGGAT